AAGACCCCAATAAGATACCAATTATAAATGCACGTATACCTGAATAAGTCAAAAATTGAACTTGCGAGGAAGATAAAAATTTAAAACAAATATGCCCTTTCGGGAATGTGTGTAAATGTTGCAAGAGCCACATGGAGCAATTATGAACGAGTGATAATGCGCATGTCAAATGGGCTATTCCACACTCGCTTACCAGTTTGATATTGTGTTGCATGAACAAGATACACTATAGCTTAAATTAGATGAACATTGAAAGGTGACTGCAGAACAAGAATAACTTTTTAAATAGCGATTTTTCTTTCTTCAGATTGTTTGACCTCATCATGTTCATCCAATTGTGCTAACGATGACCCATGCTCTATTGACATCACACACGCATTTTCTGAGACGGGGGGTAAATGGGACAACTACAATGCCTGGAAATATCAGGACAATTACTTGGATCATTTCGGCCACGAAGATAATCAGGGGGTGCGAATTGGGTCTGAACCGTCAGAGGGGACACCTCTCGCTCTGACGTCGAACGATTTCAACGATAGCCATTTTCACGCTCTTAATCTGTAAGTTACTTTCAATTATTTTGTTTTGTAGTTTGAAGTTTGGAAATAAGGACAAGGGCGTTGAACGCACGTACGTCTTTCACTGGTCAGTGTCAAGCGAAGGTTACGACCGTCACCTTCGCATTCAAGATGGCGGACGGGAAGTGTCAATTTCGATATTCTTAGATTTCATCAAATTAAACTTCTATTTAGAGTTGACGTAATGCTTTGGTATTTGACCTAAACAAGGCTTATATGACATGGAAACTCTGCAGTATGATAAATTGTTTATATATCGTACGTAGGCGCCACAATTTAACGATATTTTCCACCCCTTAGAGAAGGTTACTGGGATTTTGGTTTCATGACCTTTACCGTATCATACATTTCCAGTAACATTCCCTTAAGCGGTGAAAGATACGTCGTTGAACTGTGACACCCACGCATGATATATGAACAATGATCATACTCTAGAGTTTCCATGTCCAGTAAGTCGGTTTTAGTTCAAAATATCAAAGCAACGTCAAACTATAAAGTAGTTTTACTCCATGAAAATTAAAAATATCGAAATAGACACTTCTGAAAATGCTGCTTTAGCCTAAACGTTTATTGTAAACAATTGAAAAGGAAATAGTTAAATAAAGATTTAAAATTGCGGGACATAAATGGATCAAAATTGTGTGTTTATTGGGAAAGTGTCTTCAACTAACCTTTCATTTGCAAGTTTGAAAGAGATTAGATTAATGTCTGATTGCCACGATGTATAGATTACTGCAGCTTCTTCCAATATTATGCCATCAATAATTAATCCTGTCAATAACTACTAACAAAACTTCAGACTAAACGTGACTTTATCATGCCAGCATTTTTGATATTTCCTTTTTTCTGTTCTCATTTTACAAGATTACAGTGGCTTGTGCTAATCTGTTATTTCCAGGTGGGGACCCGATTATTGGATGTTCCTTGGACTAATGGATTGTTCCCAATCTGAGAACGGTTGGATATACTTCAAAGGAGTTAAAACGATCGGCCCTGCCCCTCATACAACTCACTTGGAAGTTACGGGGACCCCAGACACTAACTGCACTGGCAGTGCCGGGGGAACAATACCCTCGACTGCCACTGATGGCCATTATATTCGATGTGGATACCTCAATAAGGTAGCATGGGGATCGCCAAATTGTGAAGTGAACTTCATTGACTAATGGTCCGTAATATGACTCTGACCAGTGAGCGACCACATATTTCAACTCAAGTATTTTTTCTGATGATATTCATAGTTAATTAATGATCAATGTGCGTAAATTATGACAGCTATTTTTTCACGGAAAGAATGGCAGTGATATCAATATCAACATATACATTGTAATTCGGTAAAGGAACTGACAACGCCCGCAATTAAACATTTTAACTTACGCCGTAAGGTTACGTATGCGTATTCTTTTAGCGCGTGTAGAATTTACTTCTTAAAGGGCACAATTAATGCTTACACGAGGCGTAATGAACGCATACACGGGCGTGATGTTACGTCTGCACAGTGCGTATAACGCCTACACACCCATATATAAACATCGAGTATATACAATGGGCAGGTTGGCAAACCAATACTAAGAGTGTTCATTTTCAGACGCCTCGTTGTCAGGATGTAAGAATGTTCAAAAAGATGGCAGTGCAGTCAACGTTTTATATAAATTATTGGTAACTATAGCTTGGCATAATATGAGACGATAAAAGTAAAGATAACTATGTTAAATGAATATACGAAGAAATTTTAGTTTATTAATAATTTCGAAGTCTTGATCTAAGATATATGTGTGAATGTACCAAAAGTTCCGTAAAGTCCTTCTCTACTATGCAACTCTGGCTTTTTAGACATGAGACCCAATTAACTCCGCTTCTTTTACCATATGCGGAGGAGGCGGGAACAGAATGTCAAATAGCCTCTGAAGGTTAATCCTTTAATTCCCATGGATAACTGAACTATGTAATAATATCTGCAACTTCGTTGGCATCTTTTATCATGGCTTTTTAAAGACCTCTTTAAGTAACTTCTCCATGGCAATGTTTCTTTATCCTTATTTCTTTTCAATTTTCAACACCATAGCATAAACTACACTAACTACCCAATACGCAACTTTTTACCATGTAGAATTTTTAAATATTAATTTTGAAAATTCCATTTTTATAATGGAGGCCAATGGGAAAAATGACATCATTTGATGCGTGCATGTTAGGTTTTCCGCACATGTTAATTATACCATATAGGTGCGTATATTTTGATTAACATCATTAGGAAAATCAGTTCAACCATTTTTCACGCTTTACGGAGAATGGCTGTAATACGTTGTCCACCTGTAGCAGTACTTTTTGCTTTTTTCTAGCCCTATTTTAAGAATCCCAGAATACCTTTTTCAGCTAGTATGTTTTGGTATCATTTTCACTGTGACCATTGTTATCCTGGTCTTGCCATTAACATATAGAACAAATAAAAAGATTGATAAAATGTCAAAAGGAGTAATTTTTCTCATATGACTAACCAAGATACAGGCATACAGCCATCTTTACCCCATTCAAGATATTGTGGACTTTAAAGATTCTCGCAATCTTTATCCAATCAGCGTTTGCGAGTGTGTCGGCTCACGTATAAAAGGCGAATCCAACTCAAATCCATGCAGGGGTGTATGAGGTACTCGAATAGGAGAGCTCGTGAAATCTGAATTTATATGCACATGGTCAATGTTTACACATGTTTGGAGTTATTGAAGAAAATGTGATATGGGTGTGGTTCCGAATTTGAAGTCATTGCTGGAAAATATGATTTTAATACGTGAAATTATATCTATAAATACAGCACTAAAAATAACAGCACACATGAAGTACATGTATGATTGTGTCCAGAAATGTTTGAAACCCTTACAGAAAATTCTGTCTGCATTTTGTCACCATTGCTCTTTCTTCCCGCATTCTAGTGCTGTTTGAATGAATATATCAATAAATGTATTTCTAACTAAAATATATCACATTTTTGTGAAACCACAAACATTTAGATCATAAAAAGATATTCAATACTTGAGTGAGCACGATATGCAAGGGTTACTAAGTTGACACAGTAAATGACCACTGATATTGTGTTAGCAAATATGTATTAGCAGAATACGCTGTGTGCATGGACTAACACCCCTCACTTTCATATTGAAGTGACTAATTGGTTTATGTTTACGTTTTAATGTGTTTTGGGTTCCTTGTTACAGCAAGGGGGGCCAGTAAAGTAGACTAACATGTTTGCATGGCAAATTTTGATCGAATATGTGAGACACTTTATTAAGGGTCATTTTGAATTTCAGTTCGTGACATTTCATAAGCTAAGAGCTAATAACTCATCACAACAATTTCGCAGTAAGTTTCCTTTTTTACTGGACGTTTGAACTGCAATATCTCACTATTCTGGCCTCTTGTCCACTAGGAAAACTACGCTCGCCTTGCGGCCTCCGTGGGGCGTATCCAGTTTTATAGAGGCCGCAGGGTCGCCGTAGAAATTATAACTCGGAGTTATAATATTTGTTCATTTCTGAGGTCCCCGTAGAAATCAACTGGCTCAACAAGATTGAATCATTATTTGTCAATGTTTCACGGTCACTTTTCATTTGATATTACATCCTAGCACTTTGAATAACATTTATAAATTGTCCTGATGTAAATAAAATGAAAAAAACTATTATTTATCGATAGAAATTTAAAATTCACCGTGCGGCTGCCGTGAGAAATGTGACTGCAAAAGTATGAGAGCGCAGAAATTCTGCGGCGAGCGTAGAAAAGCTACTGGCCGCAGAAATGATAGACCGCAAGGTCGCCGTAGGAAATGTGACTGGAGTGTTAAAGAGGCAATTTCAAATGCTTTGCTTTTGAGAGAGGATTTTAGCTTAGTGTGGCGCTGTAGAATAAGGTACATGGCTATCGACACAATATCCTTTTTATTTGGTATCATCTACACATATGAATATAAATGAGTACCCACCATGCCTTGGTTAATGAAATATAATGAATTCAAATACGAAAATGACCGTTAAAGTCCGGAACGCGAGCCATAAATCCGATTGTTTTCCAGTCTGCATGGAGTGGAAATGCTGTTTCTGCAAAAAGGCGAATTACTTTTTTGGGGGGAGGTACATATCAAATGGGAATATTAGGTTTCCAGGTTATGGAGAGGAATGTACTTGCTAAAATAGAATGACGAAATTGACCATATGGAAAAACAACTACGGGTCCATCCATTCCACTAAGCATTGATTTCCATTGAAAACATACCATTATATCATTCATTTTCGATCCCATCTAATGATCAGGTCATGCAATCGTCAATCTTTCTGAGAAAACATACGGTACATTCATCGACCACCAATATTGTAGATGTTCGGATTGTTGATCTGGAGTCGAATTTAATTACTATTTGGAATTTACAAAATGACGGAGTATACTTTATTTCTCTTAATTACACTAGGCGTTTACCTGACAACAGCCACACCAGGTGAGAATTTTCCACGAAATCGAATCAAATAATTAAAAGGGAATACTTGTAGTGGTGTAATATTAAAGATACAATTATTGTATTTAAACTTTGAAACTTAAATTGACCGCTTTAAAATGTCTATGTAGATCTATTTTTCTTTCTTTTCAGACGAATGCTTTGAACAAAATGATGGAGTCAGAAAACTGACGGTCCAAAAATTGGATTCGTTCCGTCTTGCAGATGGTCTATACAATCTGTCAACTATCAAAACTTCACGAATTGGGTGTCTGCAAGCGTGTACTTTGGAGCCCTTGTGTAAGGGGTTCAATCATGCAAAACTTTCTAAAACCTGTCAATTGAAATCGATAGGAGAACCATCACCATCGGAGCTGATAGCCAGGGATGATTTTGTGTTCTATGGCGTTTCCTGTTCGACTGAGGCCAATCAGTCTACGGTCAGTCCAACTACAGATAGCATCACAACGGAGGGTCTTACTACAAAGCTCTATCCAACTACAGAACCGTTAACAACAGTTGGTGAGATAGCGACCACAATATCCTTGTTGCCACCACCCGCTCAAGCAGCTCCGAATATGCAAACTACTGTCATCATGTTTTATGTTCCGATGGAAGCAAATATGGACGTTTTCATACGAGGTGGCAGGACCCAGATATATTCAGGTATGATGCAATACATTTTCTTCGCAATTTGAAAAAGTACTTTAGTGAAACTGAAATTTAAAGTAAGGTCTAGGTCTTTTATAAATCGGCCATTTTTGAATTTTTTCATGAATCTTGTCATCAAAATTCCGTTAAAGTTGAAATGTTTACGAGATGCAATAGTGCCAATATATGATTGGGTTTTGAGTACATAGTGACCATTTTGCTCTTCAAAGTGCAAGATTTATCACTGCATTTTTGTTAAAATTTATTTTTTCTTCAGATTGTTTGACCTCATCGTGTTCGTCCAATTGTTCTACCGATGATCCATGCTCCATTACCATCACACATATATCACCTGGTATGGGAAGTCAATGGGACAACTACAATGCCTGGAGAGACCAGGACAATTACTTGGATCATTTCGGCCACGAAAACAGTCAGGGATTGCTTGGATCTGAACCGTCAGAGGGGACACCTCTAGCTCTCACTTCGAACAATGTCTTCGATGAACATTATCACATTTACAATCAGTAAGTTGTTTTTTTCAATATTCTGTTTTGATATTTGAAATTTGGACTTGAGATCTGGGGCGTTTAAAACATTTGAAGAGAAAATCTGTGTACTTTTGAAAATATCAGTGACCACGAGTGTGATTTAATTCCCATCATAGGCAGACGGTATCCATCAGCTGGCGTCTTGTGAAATACAGACTCTCTTAGGCACCACATTTTCTGTATCTCACTCGAATCATTGAATCACTTATAGTATCCAAATATTCTACCGGTATGTTTATTTGGACATCCACTTACTGAAAAGGCCAAACTGCCCTAATACGTCAAAGTAGTTATCAAAAATGAAAGTAGTCCCAACACAAATGTGAATATGACGAGTCAGTAAGCTAGTATGTAGGCACGGTTGTCATCTTTTTGCAATGACAACATGCCCTTTCTTCTGAAAATGCGTTTATTTGGGTTATCTGAAGGAAAATTTCGAGTCAAGTGGCGTATTAATTTTGCCTTCATTTTTGTGAATTTCAATTTCTGTCGGCAAATAGAGGGAGGGGGTAGTGTCACAATTGACCAATTATTTCAAAAAGTAGATGTTGGGCCCCTATTGAGTTTAGTGTCAAAATGTAGCTTAGACATAGTTTTAGAACCTCAGATAGGCCAGTGAGGCCACGTAAATCAATAACTGAGATCAAAAGTCAGGCGTTTGACCTTTTGCCTATTGACTAGTATTGTGACGTGAATTAGGGCTGTTTTGCCAAAGCTAGTCAGTCACGAGCAAATATATCCAGCAGCTCCAATAATCGAGTGAGAATTCTTCACTTCACCAACCAGGACGTTATCTGGTGATTTTCACAATGTCTTGGTTGAGTTAAAGCCTTTTTAAGTATTTTGGTTGCTAAAGCCAGGGGTTTCTCTCTGGATGATACAGCCCTTGGATACTCGTGATTGATTCGCATTTCAGTAACTGTATGTGATTATTTCATATCAAAAGGAGTGCGATGCAATAAACATAGAAATAAGGTATAAAAGTGCTTAAAATGATATTTGAATCAGGAAATATTGATTTAATCTTGACGTATATACCTTAAAACGTTGCTTTTAACCTATAGTGCAGTCAGTTATGACAATAAAACCCTTGAATTGCACTTGGTATACACATGTACATGTATATACCACCGAAGTGGTGTCTAAAAGTGGCCCCTGTGGATAATAACAGGCTTCGAGAATTTTGCATGTTTCATTGAGCCCCATGTTAATTCATCAATCTTCAAAAGACCCCCTGCAGAACAGTTCAAGAGCAATAAAGTCAATCTTACTAGTATGTAACCATAACTTGAATGTCTTCAAAATATGAAGGGTTACAAGTTGGATTTTATCAAGTTCATAAGATATTGACGATTGAATTTTGGAAAATTCTCATTGACTGCCATTATAATTTTCTGATGTTGCAGATTTCTACAGCCAATATATCAAGACTTTCAAAAAACCAAACAGGCACATTAATTCTAAAAAATTCTTATTGTTAATATAATTAGTTATTAAGTTGCTCACGAAAACTCCATTGTTAATTTATCAATCTTCAAAAGACCCCCTGCAGAACAGTTCAAGAGCAATAAAGTCAATCTTACTAGTATGTAACCATAACTTGAATGTCTTCAAAATATGAAGGGTTACAAGTTGGATTTTATCTAGTTCAAAAGATAATGACGATTGAATTTTGGGAAATCCCCATTGACCGCCATTATAAATTACTATCAATATGGCTTTACCAAAGTGTCATTTTCTCCAAAAGTTTACTATGGAATTTTCTGATTGCAGATTTCCTATTTCTATAAATCAGAAAATTGCATAGTAGACTTTTGTAGAAAAGTACACATTATTTGTAAATCCATGTTTATAGCAGTTTATAATGGCAGCCAATGGGTTTTAGAATTGTGCCTTCTTGGTTTTTTAAAAGTCAATATATTGGCTATAGAAATCTGCAATATCAGAAAATTTCATCGTGAACTTTTGGAGAAAATGGCACTTTAGTAAAGCCATATTGATAGAAATTTATAATGGCAGTCAATGAAAATTTCCCAAAATAAAAAACTCCAATATCTTTGGAACTAGACAAAATCCAGCTTGTTACCCTTCTTATTTTGAAGACATGCAGGATATTTTTACATACCAGGAAGGTTGACTTTATCGCTCTTGAACTGTTCTGCAGGGGTTCTTTTGAAGATTGATAAATTAACATGGGACTCAATGGAGTTTTCGTGGGCAACTTAGTAACTAGATATATTAAAATTAAGAAGTTTTTAAAAATGTGCCTGTTTTGTTTTTGGAAAGTCATTATGTTGGGTATAGAAATCTGCAAAATCAGAAAATTCCATGGTGAACTTTTGGAGAAAATGACACTTTATTATTAAAGCCATGTTGATAGCTTTTATAACAGCCAATAGGAGTTTCGTGTGCAACTCAATGGTTAGATATATGAAAAATAATGAATTTTTAGAAATGTGTCTGTTTGGTTTTTTATAAGTCAATATATATGCTACAGAATTCTGCAATATCAAAAAATTCCACAGTGGAATTTTGGAAAAAATTACACTTTAATAAGGCCATATTGAGAGTAGTTTATAATGGCAGTCAATGGAAATTTTCCAAAATTCAAGCACCGATATAATATCTTTGGAACTAGACAAAATCCAGCTTGTAACCCTTCTTATTTTGAAGACAATTAAGTCATAGTTACATACTAGGAAGATTGACTTTATTGTTCTTGAACTCCTCTGCAGGGGGTCTTTTGAAGACTGATAAATTAACATTGGACTCAATGGAAACATGCACAATTTTCGAGCCCTGTTATTATCCACTGGTGCTACTTTTTAACACCACTTCGGTAGATATCAAAAATATATGTATTAACGATACTTTGGTCGAAAATGGTGACGCATATATAGCAAGTACAATTAACATTTATTGAAAATGATGAGTCAATAAGAAAGTCGCATGCTTATTGTAAGATATCTTCGATTAACCTTTTGCAATTTTGAAAAACAGATAGTATCCAAATGGCACGATGTATAGATTATTGAAGCTTCTTCCAATATTATGCCATCAATAATTAATCCTGTCAATAGCTCCTTACAAAACTCTCCTGACCAAACATGACTATATTGCAGCATTTTGTAGCAGTTCCCCTTTTCTATTCTCGTTTCCCAAGAATACTGTGGCTTAAGTTAACCGGTTATTCCAGGTGGGGAGCCGATTATTGGATGTTCGATGGACCAATGGATTGTTCCCAATCTGAGGACGGTTGGATATACTTCAAAGGAGTGAAAGCCATCGGCCCTGCCCCTCATACAGCTCACTTGGAAGTTACGGGGACCCCAGACAGTACCTGCACTGGAAATGTCGGGGGAGCAATACCCTCGACTGCCACTGATGGTCATTATATTCGATGTGGATACCTCAATAAGGTAGCATGGGGATCGCCTAATTGTAAAGTGGATTTCCTTGACTAATGGTCCTCAATGATAATGATACCCTAATTCATACACAAGGTTCTTGTATGTAGTCTAAACTGATGTCGGTAGGCGGGTGTAAAAAGGTAGAGGGTCCTATCAAAATATGGTCCTACTCTTCATTGATTTATATGGTGACCTCTTTCCCTTATTATCTTATTCGCAATAAGGGCCAGTAAGGCAGTAAGGGCCGTTAAGAAAGGGGACCATAATCTCTTTTTCATACCTGGATCGGTTTGAAATCGGTGTGAAATAATATTGATAATGACGAGAAATGATCGAGCTTAGTGAAATATTCACAATTATTGGCACTGTCTTGTTTAGATTGCTGTTACTATATCTTCATATCGGTCCTCTTATTCCTTTTTGGATTTTTGAGATTGTTGAAAATATCTGCTGTTTAAGGTAGTTCCCTTAAATCATTCCGCTGAGAATTTTAATGATGTTTAGCTAAAGTTGAAAGTGTTTCTAGTGTATTAGTATATGCTTGGGTTTTATCAACACTAGATGGGTCTACGTTGCGGCCCAGCAAGGGTAGGGAATGACAAAAAGTGATTATTACAGAAAGCCAAATCACCGACATTTGAAAAGTAACGACTCTTTACCTCGACATGATATCTTATAAAAATCGCAAGTACAGCGACTATGGAATGAATAGAGTTTATTTAATGGGAGGGATCGAAATGAATTCTATTCCGAGGGAAAATGTGATGTTGGCCAAGGACAATACCATACCCCGGGAAAACATGTTATTATGGAATAAAGATGGATATTTTGAATATTTTCATAAGGAAAAGTGATCAACCAATTCTTTCCTAGAAACTGAAACAAACAAACATGCAGTATGTGGTGACACGAACAAAATAATTTTTAAATTTCAATCTTTATCTGGCGCCCGATTCTCCAAAGATCTTAAATTTCGATTAATCCTACATTTGTTTAAGATTATCAGAGCCTTGCTAACGAGAACGTTTTAAAACGTTTTAAATAAATCAGTAATAGTTCCAATATCCACATCCTAAAAGTTCTACACATGAGCTATATATCGTACGTTTATTTATAAAAGTAGCCTATAAAAATTTTATTTTTATCTTACACAAATCGCATACGACAAAGGTCGATAAATTACGATTACATTTCTTGATTCACATTAACTTGTTTCACATTTCTTGCATTAATTGCTTGATTCACATTTATATTTTCGTGATTCACATTCAATTGTTTCACATTTTTCAAAATCATTTTATTGACATTTACTCGATTTATATGTATGCTGTTAGTTTTATAATCGTGAATAACAAAAAGTATTGGAAATAATATATGTAATTGATGACGCCATTCTGACACTGGATAACGGTCTGAATTTACACCCCAAAGAAAATACGATCGACTGACGCAGTAATGAATAGATACATCGATATTGGTTTGAGCTTTGGGTTGCAAGAAATACTGTTTTCAGAATATTTTTGTACCTAGTTTAATGAACTGTGAATTGTTGAACTGCTCTTTTTCCCAATATCAACAAATGTGCCCTAAATCGACATCCAATGAGGAATGTGAGCTTATAACGATAATGGGCACATTAGGGTGAGGGTTTATATATTACGATTTATATCATTATCGAAGAGATCCCTATACCACACCCTGATTTATAACGGACACCAGTTTCGCACACATATTCCAAACGTTTGGTAACCCTATTTTTCCATTGTTTAGAGCGTTAGGGTTGAATATCAATTCCTCAGTACATGTAAATCGGATATGATTTTTAATTCCCTAAATGAAACGGGCCTCAACACATGATTCTACTGGGGAGATGGGTTTATCAAACTTTTGGAGGGGGTGTAACATAACATGTGATCTCATTGATCATTAAGCATAGATATATCAGAATAAAAATACTTCCTACTCATATTAAAATAGTGGTTCGTTCACTGATCAGAATGTTCATTTCGAGCAACTCGAGCTCAGCGTTGCTACAGGTCTAGATATACATGTTGACTGCTATGCAGTATAGAGACGCAACGTCTTTATAACCAGGTGAGAACCAGTATACAGTGGTGTTAGAATGTCATAAAAAGATGGCAGAGCAGTCAGCAGTCACATATGTATATCTGTAACAACGCTGTCATATTTTATCATGGCCTAATTTTTGCTCATTATTTTCACTTTTCGTATCTAAGACTAAACGCAAAGGCACGACCAACTTAAATATGACAACGCAACTTTTTGCAATATGAACTGAAATCGGTGCTCGTACAGGTAGTCTTGGTATTGTCTTTGCTTTTTAGTCTAGGCATTGTGACAGTACTGTTGACCTAGCTTATTTAGGTTAAGACGTAAAACAGGCTGGAAGTAGATTCAACACATATTTTAGCCGGTGTATATTTTTGGCTGCAATGCCATATTTATTCTTTCATATAGGCTACAACGCCGTATTTTATGATTATTTTTTCTACAACCAGTCAATTTGAGATCTTATTGAACATAATGAATTGCAAACATTACTTGAAATTGATTGACCAGTTTATGCATACATGACTGAACAACCATACTATGCCCATATCAATAATATATTAATACTGATATCCTTTGCATGAATCGTGGAATTCGAGATTAAGTCCTCCTGTTAGAATTTCGACATACTGTAGATCATTAATTGTACAAGTTTTCAATAGTTCATCCGCATGATTGTCTAAAAATATGAATGCTGTCGTCTCTGATCCTTTGTCTTAAATTGGTGGTGCACCCATCTCTATATGAATGTTTGGAAGACACAACTTTACAATTCTATCAATAATAATTTGCCTATTCATGATTGATAGATTTCTTGTAATTGTAATTAAGATATTAAAGATGAAAGATGAATAACCTTTCCCACACTATTCAATGAGCAATTGGATAACCACACTTTTAGAGTTGGGTGTATATGATTTTCCAAGTAGACATGCATATGTTTAATGCGTCCGTCTTACTTTGAACCTTGAATTACAATCGTCACAATAACACCATAATTACACACGCCTATACTTTTTCATCACCAATAATCTCATCTTCTTTAACTTTGATTTCATAATCCCCTTCATTTGCCATCTCTGCCCGTATGTTCTCCTTTACATCGACGTCTTCAGTATTCTCAAGCGAGTATCTCTTGCCTCTCCATCCCATGTTAATCAAAACGTGTTTATTACTGCGTATACCCGACTTAGGAAGCTGAATGAAGAGATCAACCTTCTCACATGATTCAACTCCACTTTGATCTTCATCAACCTCGAACGGTAGATCAGCTATTGGCCAATCTTCTTTAAAATTTTCAATCACCTCATCAACTTTGCACTTAAATGTACAAGAGTTTAATTCAATAGGGTCAGCCTTTGAGGACATGAAGTTGCGAAGGATGAAGGGAAAGATACCACCAGCAAGTGTGGCGAGCATTTGGCTCGTAGAACCGATGTTGTAGATACTGCCAAATATGCTAACTGTCATCACAAGGAAACAAAGGAAGATAACAATCTGGCCGAAACGTCTCCAAGCATGTACCATGCTCTTATAGACTGGACCGGGGGCACCGGCGACCTCTATCATTGTAATTGCGTAGAACAATTTCACAGGCACAAAATGTAAATCAAATTTATTGACAAAAAGGACCAAATCATTGACATTCCAATGAATTGGACGTCTCCTTGATAGTCTGTCGGGCCTCTCGTGCTTATCTTGTTCAGTCAAGGCCTCTGCCTTGAAACCACGATTTTCCTGTAAACGACTTGGAAGTTGGCTTACAGCAATGACATCATCTTTGACTCGTCCAGATACATCCTTAAAGATTGCCTTGTTAAGGGATAAGTACTTAAGATACACGTTGTGAAAGCAGTCGTATGAATATATGATCAATAGCAACAGAATTGAGAGATATTTCAGAACAGAGCCAGCGTTTACAATAAGGCCAATGAGGGTGAAAATAAGCACCTCTAGCCCGAAACCAAGACATTCCGATACCAGGAACACTGTGCACCAAATCCCAAACAGGTACATGATTGGTAGGATAATACAGAGAGCTTTATCCATGCAGCCCATAGTCTTAGTGGACGGTTCCGTATCAGAAAGCATGTCCGTCTCTGTTGTGTCTGAATACACTGAGGTGTTCTTGGGAAGCTTAGAATAGGAACTGGATACACTTGTATAGATGTGCATAAAGAACCTATATGTTAGATACAAAAGTGGGGCACAGCTTAAGATGAACAGCACTAAACATATAGGAACAGCAATTGGCCAGAATATAAAACTAACGATGAACCCCAAACAACCGAGAAACCTACACGGCAACAAGAGAAACTCTACCATTTTCCCAATTATGGTAACAATGGGAACGTTATGCATGTCCACAAATGAACTTTTGATTATGTTTCTGTATCTTCCACTTGGTTCAATCTTGAAGAAAAGTTGCAATAGGATAAGAATTCCATACATTACGTAACAAACTATGAAGATTGCATTCTCTGGAAAGAAATACTGTACAAGATGAAGCTCATAGGCTTTGTTAAACCCAAACCTATTAGCGAATTCTGACCTACTTGACAATTCCTCTCTTTCAAACACATTGAAGAAAATCAACCTTAACCAATATGGAAACGGAAATACCAACGTCACGAGAATCAAACCTGATGTTGCGTATCCAATGTGTTTCCATTTGATAGGAAATGTTTCGTTCAGTACTCCACATATGCTAGCGTTGCAACATTTAGCACATGCCCACAGTTTTCGCATCCCACACTGCAGAACCCTATATTTTACACAAGCAAATAAACCTACAGGAATACGATTTTCAGTAACAACATGGTCTGTTTCTACGGATAGGAAATACTCACTTAATTTTACTTTAACTGGTTTTCCTTTTTGAAGAGTCTTAACTGTTTCTTGGAATTTATCAAAATTGTCCAAAGCTTCAGCAGGCCAATGATGATCAAACTTTACATTTCCGGGGTCTGATGCTACAAGCATTGTCTTCCGAAGTGAGCTTTTGAGGATGACCCGAAATGTATCGGCGCCTTTTGAAAACATGTATACAGCACAAGGGATGAGATATGGGACAAGGAGAAACACAGCAATCTTGAGAGCTATCACACAGTACAACAGGACACTGAGAGTTAAACTCTTGCGTTCAATACTACATGCCATACTTTGGTGTAAATCCACACGACAGCATTTGTCAACGAATCTGGCAGTTGAGCTACTTGTATGAAAAACTTGGTGACATATGTAGTCATCTCGAGCTATAGTTGGTGATGCACTCTCGGAGTTAAAATCTCGACTCAGAAGCCACAGCACATTATCCATTCTGTCCATTTCTGTTAACTCTCCAAAACAACCAACTGGCTCATCCTTTAGCACTACCGTATGTTTCTCCACGCCCAATGAGAGCACGGATAAGGACAGGACGTCGTAATTGAAGTTCATTGTGACCAGAGTTCGTCCGTGTTTAGTAGCCGCCTTTTGCCAAATATTGGCTTTGTAGTTCTCTCTAATAGATTGCTCCAAAAGTGGATTCACAGTATAGTTCTCAAATACTAATTCATACTCCAACAGTTTTGCCGATTCAGAATCTGCAAGTACGTTTAAAATATAGTCACTTGTTGGAATCAATTTGCACTTCGGCATATTATGAACGCTTGTCGTGACAGAATCATTCGCTGTCGCAATTACGTAGGGCGCCTCTGTTGAATTGGCCACTGGTTTGATCGGAGTAGCTTGGGCTTCTCCACCTCGAAGTAAGCACAACATTGTGGCACACAGAACGTTCCACTGCATCACTGGCATCTTAAAACTGTAGGTTTGTAATACGAATGCTGTTCAAAATCCTGAAAAGCACGAGCAATTTACAATATAGTTAATAAAAAATATTAACCTATTCAATGCTTTCTTTTTGTAGCTATTTTGCTATTGTGATAATTCAATAGATTGCTCATTGATCGATACAGCTGGATATCAAATTCAATATGATAATGTTGGGCAATATGGTGTTGGGTTCTTGCTACATGATTCTATTTTATAATGCACAGCTTCAAATGTGTTTCTCTCATAAATTATAGCTATTTTGAAATATTCTCTACTTCTGGAGTTCTAATGCCCCGAAATAAAATATATGACCTATTTCACTGGTACTCACCTAGTTACGCTGATGATACGTCAGCGTAACAAGATGGAAGAACTTCCGGGCTTCGTTAATATACCAAACATAGAACCGCCTGCATATTCTCAAACTAGACTATCTTCCTTAACTTTGAGCCAAAGTATTGTCCACAACTTAGCTTATAAGTGGTGTAGAATCGAGAAATAAAAATATCTTACCGAAAATGAAGTTCTTCCATCTTGTCACGCTGACGTGTCGTCAGCGTAACTAGGTGAGTAGCAGTGTATTTAAAGTGTCGCTTATCGCACCGAGTTGTTTACTATTTTGTGTATGTTGCAAACTTTAAGTCTGTTCCTAATTTCAGGTACACGTCATAATTCATTTCATTTATCATCTACAACTTTCGGTTTTGCACAAACAGTGAACAAATAAACATAGATTATACGTTGAGCATTAATAACATTCTCAATTAGGTACCATTTTGTCATTTTAAAAAGTAGGTCACTGAATTTTCTGAATTCCCATACCTTGTCTAAAATGATTGACCCTCAACTAAAAATGTAGGTAACCTGGATACATTTATAACTCTTTGTGCAAGACTGAAAGATCCCGTGAAAGATAAGATATGTGGACCATTATGCCTGGGTCACATTTGCTCCGATTCATAGGCCGGCGCCTGGCCGATTGAGTATTTTGTTCCTGAATACAATTTTGAACAAAATAGTCAATCGGCCCGGGCGCCGGGCGATGAATCGGACCAAATGTGACCCAGGCATTAGACTTCCTTATGTGTACCTGAAAATAGCACAGGACTTCGATTAGGGAGCCATCCATTGACATTTCTAAACATACGAAACTGCCTTAACTTAACTACACATAGTATACCACACAACACAAACATACAACACATACACAATAGCACCTAGTTTCGGTTGTTAATTTACTGATTAACTCCACATGCATGTGAATGTAATTACTAACAATATTAAACGATAAGTAGCTCTTATTATTACCTTTATAGAAATCAATACATTATAAGTTAAAAGAATTAGAAACTGATTTTAACATTTAAATACATTTTACTTGAAATAGCACTATTAACAGTACATCACCTAGCTATAATTAGGTTAATTTTTTAAATTGCACAGCTGGTGTCTCCCCAGTTATTCAACAGTTTGGCGTATTGTTGCGTTGAACTAACCAGCGGCATTAACATGATCACTGCATTCCAAATTACTTGTATCTGACATTTTCACGACATTTTATCAAATGGGAAAGTTAGATGTAATTGCATGTTTACCTCCCCTCAACATATTTATTGTTTCTCCATATTTGTTTAAAGAATTATACAAACACTTTAAAATTTATGAAAGCCCCTTTTAATTGTATTTTGGTTATACAAGGGATAAGAAAACAAGACGCTAAATTAGCGTGATTTTTTGAAAAGGGTTACTTCAACTGTTTATTTTGAATTTTGTGATGTCCTTCGAAAACTTCTCTTTATTCTTATAAATTAAATATTGCCTTAACATTTCAATTGAAAAGAGTAAACATATATTGAGAGTAACTGGTTTAATATATTTATGGCCTTTCACTTTAACACTTCAATAAGTATCGAATTTGTACAATTTGGATATTTAAATGATAAAAGGTTGTAGATTTTGAAAAGGTATTTTGATTGTCGCTCTAAATGTAGAACTCCGATGCAGTGGCCGACTTTTAGAACTGCTTTCTATGATCTGAGTTCATTTTATTGGATCATCTCCAGTTCCACAAGTGCGTCGGATAACTTTCTAGTCAACATTTTACTCTGGGATTCTTCTATAAATCGAGTGTCTGACATTATATCTCTTGCATTACATTTATGTTGTCGAAATTGTTAAACACAATGATTTGATTTTATGACTTTGGCATCAACCACCCCCTCTTCTTTTTCCCAGTCTAGTCATCCGACAAAATTGATATGCAACAAACTGACAAAGTTCCTTGCTTCTGAAGATATTTCGGGACGTCGTGCATTTATGAATAAGCTGCACATGGTAGTCTAAGCCCTGCTATGCATTAATATCAAGTTATAGTTTTGTTTAATTTTTCGACTTTATACATATCTAGTTTTACATAACCAAAAACCATGCAGTCTTACCTATCGTAATGTCCAATCGCGTATATGTCTTCCGAAAAAGGTGTATTTCATCCCTTGTACATTTGTCTACATGAACGTCCACGTTAGTATTCGCCTGGATAGACCAGTGTTAAAACCAGTTAATAAAATTCAAATTTAGTATAATTAAAGGTTAAACAGATCATAAATTCTTTTTTCACGCACTCGGCCAGAACGCCCTGACCTTTCCACCGCCTTAAACCAGTACAACTGTACTACCAGCACGCAAAACTGACACTAAAGTTCATATTAATCCATTAAACCTCTTTACAGGGTTCAACAATAATACCCCATGCAGACGGATTGCCTAAAATTACATTCGTATGATGCGAGACTCGACATTCACCAGGAAACTTGAAATAATTTGTCACCCATGGAGCAAATTAATTTTTACTGCTTAATAAATGGTGAATGACAGTCAAATTAAGTTCTATAAGTATGAGAATAGCATTAGGTCTTGATATTTCAAGGTAACTCGTTTGACAACTGATCGATAGCTGTGATTGAAATTACGATGTAAAGATAAAACCGCAAGAAATATTTGTAGATCTCTTTGAAAAACTGAACATCATTAGTATGATATTACTTTATAATCTAGATGCACACATCATACTTATGTCCGATCATAAGTTCGAATAACAGTTGTGTTTCAAATATTAATTGTATGACATACACGAGACCAATGTTAATGCTACCAGGGAAAATCAGATCTGCAGGCTAGGCTATTTATACATGTTTTTTCTGTTTTGAAAAATTCGATATGCGATGTATATTTCTTAGTTTTCAAAGAAATTTACAAATATTTCATTGCGGTTTTACCTTTACATCGTAATTTCAATCACTGCAATCACTATTCAAACGAGTTACATTGAAATATCAAGACGTAATTCTATTCTCATACTTATAGAACTCAATATGACTGTAATTCATCATTTATTAAGCAGTAGAAATTAATTTGATTCATGGGTGCCAAAATGTTTCTAGTTTCCTGGTGAATGTCGAGTCTCGCATCATACGGATGTAATTTTAGGCGATCTGTCTGCATGGGGTGAATAAAGGGATAACGACAACATTCAAGGTGAGCCTGAACCCAATGTATTAAGGAAGTTATTCACCAGTCAAATCTAAGGGGGATTTGTCTCTATCGTTTATATATTAAAAGGTGATTGCAGAGCAACGGTTGCTTGGAGATGGTCGTCGTTAGGGTTACCTGACGGAAATTATCAGTGAATAAGTTTTTAGTTTAAACCACTTTGGCTTAGATTGTAGTCTAACCCAATGATATCAAAATGTGATAGAGATGTGAAACATTTTTTGAATTTCAAAAAGTAGTTTTTGAAGGACTTTTTGTTCAAAAAATCCTAACGATTTATTTTAAACTAAATTAGGTCACGCGAATCTTTAAATATAATGAGACCTCACGCAAATGAGCATTCATCCTCAAGTGTATTTTGTCGAAATGAAAAAGAGAATTGGTTGATAAATTAGCGAGAAACTAACTCATCCATGCATGAAAATAGTTCAGAGAAAATGCATTTCAAAATTTTAATTCTCATAGAAGCCAATGGTAAATTAATAGTTAAATCATATTCTTCTTTTCAACTGGGCTAGAGAACCAACGTTGGTTTGTTTTTGAAGTTTGGCATATTTAGAAAAGATTGACAAAGAAAAAATTCATAAAATTGTTTACAAAATAGTTTTGCCACCTGAATGATGTCACAAAGATGTCACTTAAGTTGCAAACTTATCAAACATTTAAATGGCACATAAGATATGACCTTTTATTATTGAAATAGTCTGTCCTTTGTTCAATCTTTGTAATGGTGTTAAAAAGATTTGTTTTGCATCGTATACGTAAAATCTCTAAAATAACTTCTTTCCAATTTTGCTTTGATTATATCGTGGATTATGTTTATCTCTAACTAAATAGTTTACCCTGTGCGCTGAGTCTAGTTTTCACACATACAGTAGCTAGGCAAGGTGTGTCAAAATTTGCAAATACCAGCCAATAGATGTGGAATTTGTTGTCTCAACAGCATATCAATGATGCTTTGGCAAGTTTAGGCCAAACTTGAGGGCTATAATTGATCAAAATGGTAGACATATTGAATGTCTGTTTATAGTTGACAAAAACTTGTTTTTTCACGTTTTGGAAAACCCGTTTTGAAACGAAAATGACGTCATTTATAATATGGACGCTGGGTGACAGACACTGTAATAAATTTGAACTTAAGATATACCAAATTAAGGATAAGTAAATTCTCTATCCACTGGTATATAATATGACATGTTTACATCAAGAAAACCAATATTTATTTTTGAAATACGAGTGTCCTATTTTTTGGACCACCCTGTATGTATTAATCCGATTCCTCTATGTAGCATTTGGATTGAGAACGGTAACAAATGGATTGATATTATGCTATCCTACATTATGCTTTTATCTTTATGATATTTTTTCCAGATGAACAACTGGCCATATTTCCTGTGTATCCATTGCTTGGATATACATTCCTCATCCAGTGAAGCAATTAACAACACCTTTACAAGACACTTTCACGAAGAATTGAAAATTGATAGATTAAATATAAATCCATTAACTGGAAAATGATATTACAATGGAAAAAACAATAGTTTTATCCCTCATACTGTAACCTTGAAAAATGGGTCTATATCATGTAATGATTGTGATGATCACATTTAAATCAGGTACCACAATCAAGAGAATCCAGAGCCCAAAACTCATCAAACCACTGTTTTACCCAAAGATCCTGTTCCAGAGCCATTAACATTCCTTGGTAGTGACGGCCCTCCAGTAAATGGGTAATTAAAATCATCATTAAATCTCGATGATTTTGTAACCTAGGCTATGTTAGGATAGTATGGAGCCATATATTGCACTCTAATTACCAATATACCTTTTCAATGAATGCTGATCCCTTTGATAAACCAAATAAATTAGGGTAGATTTTACGATGTCATACTTTGTAGGCAGTAATGTAGATTTGTAATCAAAATTGGAATGAGTTTTTGAGCAATGATTTACACCTAGTTATTCGTATATCTGCTCTGAACTGACTGTATGAAATCATAAACAATAGATGGCATGTTTCATTGAATTGGTCTCTCTCTTTATTGGGTTCCTGATTTAATTCATAACTTTTTATTAGCAATTAGTATCTGCAGAATGGGGATACATTTTTCAACATTTGGTTAGTGTTGTCATTTCCGGCATGAATCTGGGACGTTTTCATAGTCTTCATCTCCTTCATTGGCGTAAATGTCTTCACTGGCTATATCTCTGCTTGAAAGAATCGTGAGATAATCACACCTGAAGCTACCATTCTCATGCAACGGAGGCACGTAGCCATCATCATCATAGCATTTGGAATCCGACATACTTTCCTGATCGGTTTTTGCAACTGTGTAATAATCACCCATGCAAATATCAGTCTCTTGCAAAGGATATATGTAGCCATCGTCTTCATAAGCCTCGGAATCTGTTCTAGTTTCCGTTTCATTCCTTATATAATGTTCGTTTTGATAAACTACTTGATCTGAGTTGTCACTTTTGGGAGTCAATTTTCCATTTGTTTCTTTATGTGACATTGTCTTCGGTGGACTCAGTGCGATTCTTGGAAAAACACCTCTTTTGTTGGGATGCGTGGGTTTACTTTGTTTTGTTTCTAGATCTATTTTGACTCCATCAGCACTTTCACTTACATTTGTTCTGCTGTCACCCTTTTGTTCATCCAAGCTTTTCAGACGCTCATCTTTATAATTGTTCAAATCTATAGCCGTTTTTGCTGCTGTAGCATCATTGGATGGTATACTGCTGTATGACATGTGTTCTTCTACCGAATGTGGCTTTTTCTTATGCTTCCTAAAACATTAAAAATATGTTCTTTAAAATAGAGTCAATTATAATTATCTTAATTGCAAGTACATGCATATATCATACAAGTTATCAACAGAATTTAATTGCTATCAGTATAAAATAAATCATTAATTCTGTTTCCAAACAACATGGTGACGCGATATTTTAGATAAAAAATTGACGATAATATGATGTGATTGATGTTGGTCAAAGTATCGTGGTTAATGGGAAATACCCCCCCCCCTCCCATTGTAGTTCCTTCCGGACGAAACCTCAGCTTTTGTCTGTGATAACGAAAATATCTTACCAGATAAAGTAGTAGCTTACTGAAAAGAGCAAGATAATAGCGACAGCAGCGCCTAAACAACCCAGTAGTATTACCCTCAGGAGCTCCACAGAATCAGGAGGATCAGACCCTGAAAGTATTAATCAATATTATTAGATTCAACATTGGTTTAAATGATGTCTTCTGATGATTGATATACAGGCGCTTTGTTTTTGTCCTTTTGTTTTCTTATTTTCTCTAGAAAATACAAGGAAGACTTATATTCAATCCCTTGTCGCAGGTTCTTGACGTGATGTCCTCCACGTGGTTCTTTCCTTCTTAGGGAATGATGTCTAGACCGCCGCACGCTCGGAGGATGTTGTGTACCTATAAGCAATTACAAGAAACGAAATACCGTATTATTCATTTGAAAATATAAAATAAGGTCATCAAGAGTCCATTTTCAAATCATTGTTTGATAAACCGTACCTTTAAAATGAACGTATCAATATTATTAATACATGCAGGGACGGACGTCTTTACATCCTTGAGTACATGTAATTTTGGGGTAAAACGGATTTTTGAGTCGGAGACTGGCACTTACAAATGTATGTTCAGATCGTTTCTAAAGTTTTAGCACGGACTAATTACAAGAAATACGTTGGTTGTAAGTCCGTCTTTAATTGGACAGCTGGGAATATGATTAAACCATGGGCTTTCAAGAGAAGGGTATGCAACTCTTTGTTATATTCAATATGAGCACTTCAAAATGAGCAGTGCCATGCTTCCCTTTTTTATGTCCCCACCACATAGTGTGGGGCCATATTGTCGGCCTAGGCGCGTCCGTCTGTCCGTCCGTACGTCCGGGAGTTTTCTCCAAAACCGCTACAGATATCACCTTCAAATTTTCAGGGATAACTTATGAATGCATACAGATGTGGATGAAAAAAATTTAACTAGAAACCTACTTCCTGTCGGCCATTTTGAAGTCAAATGCTAAAATCCTTGTCTGCAAACTTTAAGAAAAACGGCTTCACAGTTGCTTTTAAAACTTTAACATCTTGTTCAGCTCACTTCATTCTAGATCTGATTAGGTTTAGGACCTGTTGTTACGCGGTAAACATGATACAAAAATATGTCATATTCCACAACGAATATGGCATATTCACTTGCGGTGTATGACAGATTCACCTGCGGTATATGGCATACAAACTAACCAATGAGAACTTTCTGTATCACGTTTTCACCTGCGGTATATGTCATATTCACCTGCGGTATATGGCATATTCCGCAAGTGAGTATGACATATTCCGCAGGTGAGTATCGGGTATTCACTGAAATCAATGTATCGCATATTCACTGCGGAATATCGCTTACTCACCTGCGGAATATGCCATATACCGCAGGTGAGTATGGAATATTCACCCGTATCACAAATACCGCGCAACCATGAATGTATGCCATATACCGCGTAACACCTGTTATCTCAGTCATGGCAGCCGTTTTGAATGTCTTAAGAAAAGTTAGCGCGCGATAATACTTTGTATCATATTGAATGCTGTTTTTGAGTTTTCATACTTGAACTATTTAGAAGCTTTATAAATAATTTCAGATGTACTTTCTTGTAAAAGCCTATGTTATTGTTAACAGTAGTTATATGTGATAATTTTGTAAAAAGAAATTAGCAAAAACTTATAATCACTTTTTTATTGTCGGCCATGTTGTATTTTTCCGTCCTAAAATCTTGTCTGTGAAGTCTTGTCTGCGCGTTTTCAGGTGAACCGTTTGGTGGATCAATTTCAAATTTTCAGGGATGATTCTTAGCATAAAAATTTAGATCTGATTAGTTTTTTGGCATTCTGGGTAAATGCCAAGGCAGCCATTTTGGATTTTCCATCCTAAAATCTTGTCTGTAAAGTCTTGTCTGCGCGTTTTCAGGTGAACCGTTTGGTGGATCAATTTCAAATTTTCAGGGATGATTCTTAGTATAAAATTTAGATCTGATTAGTTTTTTGGCATTCTGGGTAAATGCCAAGGCAGCCATTTTGGATTTTCCATCCTAAAATCTTGTCTGTAAAGTTTTGTCTACACGTTTTCAGGTGAACCGTTTGGTAGATCAATTTCAAATTTTCAGGCATGATCCTTAGAATGAAAATCTAGAACTGATTAGTTTTTTGGCATTCTGGGTAAATGTCAAGGCAGCCATTTTGGATTTTCTGTCCTAAAATCTTGTCTGTGAAGTCTTGTCTTCGCATTTCCAGGTGAACCATTCTGTAGATCAATTTCAAATTTTCAGGGATGATTCTTAGTATGAAAATCTAAATCTGATTAGTTTTTTTGCATTCTGCGTAAATGTCAAGGCAGCCATTTTGGATTTTCTGTCCTAAAATCTTGTCTGTAAAGTCTTGTTTACATGTTTTCTGGATTTCTGTCCTCAAATTGTGTTGGTAAAGTCTTGTCTACTCATTTTCAGGATAACCATTTGACGGGATCACCCATTGGTGGGGACATTTTGTACACATTTGTGTTCTTGTTGATAATATTTCAAAGGGCATATCTTGAAGAAAAATCAATTTTGAATATGATTAAAGCATAAAACATGTTTAACCTCATTTAAAAGTAAACAAAAAAGACTGATAAGAAAAAGAAGTATCAAAATGTTCTCTTTGAATGTTGCCAAGTGGGTAATATTCAAGAATACATTCCAATAAAAATATAATTTGTGGGAGAATGCATGTTCACTTTCATTGTTGCCATAACTATGGTGAATTTCATTTTGTATGAGATTATCAACATGTATGCAGATAATCATGTTTTTATATTTGAGTTATTTCTTAACCCTTTCCCGACGTGAATATAAGAGGAAAATGTTGGCCTGATGACAGATAAGTAAGAGCGGCTTTTAGGTGAAAAACTGGAAATTGCGTATACCCCGGGACCTATACTTTAAAGGACCTTATACACCCTCCATTGGGATCTCCCCATGAGAAAAAAATAATTCATCTGATTTTTCAAAATGAGTATTCTGCTTTAATTATAACATTTATATGCACACTAGTATCTTGTTGACCTATATTCAGCACTGTATTGATGTATAGGCCACTTATTAAGGTCATAATTCAATAATGAAGTGTAGAGTCATATGATTCCAAACCAGGAAGTATTTTTGTGTCTGTCAAAATCCATTTGCATCCTACGCATCCCTACATCTTATCCAAATATGTTACTACATAATGAAATAAAATAGTATATTCTTTGGTTTTACAAAGTTGTATGATTTTGATAAGTGTAAAAGTTGTTTTTGGAGCATTTTTCTATAGCCATTTTGTAGGGGAAAAAATGATGAAAAATGTACAATCTTTTAATTTTAAGTATGACCTGAATCGATTGCAAACTTCATATTTGCACATTTGATGAGATAGACCAATAGTGTCATATTGTGAAATTATTAAGTTTGCAATCGATTCAGGTCATAGTGTATTTTTGGTATTTTTGTGATAATCAATAGAAACCAATGGCCTCTATTGGGATCTGCTGATATCCTCATGTTAAGTCAATGATGAACAGCCCCATGTAAGTCAATACAACCTCACTAAACTAAATGGCCCCTATCTCAGCCTATGTGTGCCCGAGCACTTTAATATTTTCCAAAGAGTTGTATGATATTCTATTCTTCATGTTACACCTAAGAATTATTCATTTTGACCATGGGGGTATTTCCGAATAAACCCACCTCTTCTTTTCATCATTAAAATACAATTTTTAATAAGCTTTGTCAACAACTTGTTAAAAGTTTGGTGTACAAATACTGAATAGAACTGGAGATATTGCCATTTCATTGATGTATGAAGAAAAAATAGTAGTGCCAAAAGGAGTCTATCGGAAAGGTATTACGTAATAGGGCTCCATATGGAGCCTATCGTCGTTAAAGGGTTAAATCATACATGAATAGTACAAAATATTTCTTGGAATGTGTACGGGAAGGATTTTCCCTAATTTTGAAAAGCCAAGGCAATACTTATGTATGAAATATGGGAAGTTGCATACCCTTCTTTTGAAAGCCATGATTAAACTAAATGAAAGAAAAGAGATGACTATTGTTGTGAAAATATCTCGTATACCTGGGTGTTATAGATGTCCTTACTACAACCACCTTTACAAGCTATACATCCATGATCATGATATGAGTAAGGCCACATCAAACAATCATATGTATATTGACATAATCGAAGAATCATCGAAGATGACGCAGAATACCCATTTGTAAATAAACATAAGGCGTCATATCTCCCTGCTAAAATATATCGTGTTTTGTGTCATTGGGTCATTCGATTTCATCAATAAATATGACAAGTGCATGCCAATAAAGAAGTGCGTGCCCTTGACTAGACACTACACAATTTAATTATACACAAGGTGGTTTTTGAATTTTGATAGATTTTTTGACAAGGTGCAGATATTCATTGATCGCCTCCAACGTTTTGTGTAACCATTGACAGGCTCGTAGCCAGGGGGGGGGGTGGTGGAGGGGCCGATGAGTTTGAGCAACCTCCCCCCTCGCCTCAAAGGATTCTTTCAAATGCATGCAGTTTTTCACCATTGAGTGATTTTTTGCCATTTTGAACCAAAATTGTCAAAAAGTAGATATAAAACTGTTTCTCTCTTGGCTAAATTTAGACATAAAAAAAAACAAAACAAAAAAAACAATATAAATGTCTTACCCATTGTCTCTGATATTCCATAACCAGGGTTATTGTCCGAGTTGTTCAATATGAAAACAGTTTCGTTAATAACCGCTATGTCAAATCCATCCATCCTTCACTATTAAATGTTATGCCGATAGTGATTCAAAAACGTCAAAATGCATTGCAAAAACAGTTTCGTTTTGGCATTGTTAGGGTTATCCGGGTGTTATCAAACTTCATACACCGTACACTGAATCATATCCTGTTCATATCATTTTCCTTATTTGACTGTATACATGTATTCGGTTACAGTTGAGTATAGAGTCTAGTTCTATAAAAAGCGATGAACACAAATACAAGTATTCGAGGCCTTAGTTTATTTGTCACGTGACTGTGAAAGTAAGTTAAAGAATACGTAAGGAGCAAGATCAAAGTGTCAAATACACACTACTATACCCCCATACTGTATCCTGTATTCCTTTAAAAGAAGTACAGGCTACAGGGAAGTTGCAAATGGAGGACGTTTGTTTATTTCCATAGTTCTGAATGTATACTAGATTTTACACATATTCTAAGTGTTCTACTATACATAGTATAGATTCATCGAGCAGTTTGCAACGTATTATTACCAGAAAAGCCCAATGGACAAAGATAGAGAATACCCGCTCCATTTGCAACTTAACCGTACCCTGTATCATTTTTAAATGTGGTCACGTGGTAGGGTAGTGTGAATATAGTTTTTACTGATTTTGAATGTGGTTTGTTATTTCATCACCAGCAATAGACTACATGCGAGTAGAAATAATCTTGATTTACGTCATTAAATATTCAAAATTCAGTCTGTGATGTTATATTTGAAATCTACAGAAGAAGTACATCTAGAAATATGGGTTCGAAAATTGTTTATCAACTTTGAAAATTTAATTTTTTTGAAAATTTGACTTCAAATAATTCTAGTTCGGGTTGATTCCCCATAGACGGATAGACCCCATGTTACAAAATCACAAAAAGTGAAATATCTTTTCTTGTATTGGGCAGATAACATTTTCTTTAAACTGGACATATTTTAATTTGCATATCTATTAGATACATAAGGGTTATATAATTATTATTATTATTATGAGCTTTATTATACTTGTATCCCACTTTTGGGCAAAGTGTACAGCTTATACAGAAAACAATGAAAAAGCTTAACTAATTATCTATATATTATATTAACTAACTAGAGGGTACTTGATCATTGCAAGATTTTATTGGGTGCATTTCGTGTTTTTTTCTCTCTCGGCAAAAATATTTTATATCATCGCCTCTGAATTAAATAGAAACATTAATTTATGTTCCACGATATCCAAGTTTTCTAAATTTTGACAGTGTTTTTTTTATTTTATCCATATAACTTGACCGAACATCTTTTAACGTATTGCATTCAAATAGGAAATGGCATTCTGAACCGGTTTCCTTGTTACACATTAGACATTTTCGTTCTTCAATTGGGGTAATTGGTTTTGTGTAACGACCTGTTTCGATTTCTAATTTATGTGTGCTAATCAGTCTTAGCTTTGTCAAGTTATTTCTGTCTATGAGTCACTTTTGATGAAATCCAAGTAGGGTTCCTTTGTTCCATTTTGCTTTTATTATCTTATAAAACCTCAATTTACCATTATTTTATTTTATTTTAGTTTCCCAAAATTGTATGTATCTATTTTCCAGTTATTTCTTTATTTCTCTTGGTTTTAAGTTTAAATAGTTTGGTGAAGTACCATTGTAAATATATTTAAGTACATCATTGATGAGCGTGAGCCATGATTGTTTATTCATATCTGTCAGTTGTTTATTTACCTCAAGGGCTAACATAAGGGTTATATGAAAATTGAACCACTAAAACAGATGTAGTTTAAGTTAAAGTGAACTTTCTACTATACCCGCCATGATATCTGACCCAAACGAGCCACCTGGTGGTTAAACTGGTAACTACCTACTCGCATCTGCGTCATTTAGTAGTGACATGTTATTAGATATACGTTACAGGCATTCCTTCTTAACGTGGTAACAAATTGGGGCAATGCTTTTTTCGAACGTGAACGTGGACGTCTGAAATTATGGCCCCAGTGACCCCGGCGTTTCTCCCCGTGGCTTTTATTTACCCGAATCCGTAACTTTTTATAAAATCAAATGCCCGGGATCAAATGATCATAAGAAATAGACAATATTATATGAAAAGCTGAGATGTTTAACTTACTGATCTTAATTGAATCTCCCGGGGGTTCACTCTAAATAATTTGCCACATTATGTATGTGTAGCAAGTTGCACGGGCAATTTTGTAAGGCCGGTATAACATCTATGGGGAAACCACTTGCCCCATTGAGTCCCATCTTGCCCCATTGAATCCCACTCCGTGGGAGGTCCCAACTTGCCCCATTGGTGTACCCTTCAAGGCATACAATCTGAGAGGAAGATACATTGAAAGTGCAATCCGCGTTCTGCACCATACTCGTTTCCCAGTTTGATTTTTAATGTTCATTAACACATCATACGTTGGAAATCCAAGATGGACGTTCTGAATAGCAGAGTCAAATTGCACCCTTGAAATAAAATCATCAGTATTCCCAGATTGCACTTATGATTTTGCTGCCATCTATTTATGGATATCATTTTTATTTCGTCCTTAGCCTTCAATAGATGGCATACTTGATCTTATTTTATTAATGATGTTAGCGGCAGCTGCGATAATTTGGAAAAATCGATCAACTTTCTGGCCATATTTCCACCGATTTATCGTGTAACTGTACAATATAGGAATAACTTGAAGATTTTGAATAAATGCCAGTATATACAAGAATGAACCACGGGAATTTGCAAGTATATACTAGAGCAGCAATGAAGATGTACATCGAAACGTGTCATTGTTGACATTTGATTTTTTTGTTTGGTTTCACTTTCGATCAGCAATAGATGCCAATTAGATAACACATAAAAATGAGTGTAGAAAGTGTCTTGGAAAAACTGGTGAAAGATGCGTCATCATCAAAACATGCTCCAATCAGAGTTGCTGCCAGTGGAGCAAAAGGTAGGTCTACACATCTTGATCTGTCAATGTATTCCATATGTGGCTAAAGGAATTAACTGGTTTACATTTCATTTATTAGGTCTAATGGTGTACATGTACATCATACATTAATCAGTGATGATTTACCAACATAAGCGCGAGTAACAATTTCGAGAGTCATTTAACCACAGGTTACATTACATGGGTTTTCAATTCGAAAGCCCATGATTATATACAAGGGCGATTCATCCCACACCTGACATCAATGTAGCTACTCGAGGCACTTCCGCTGCTGTATCTGTAGTGTAACAAGCCAGATATTGGACATGAAAGGGATTGTGCTAAATTCAATGCTCCATGCAGTGAATCGAACCAAGGACCCTCCACTCCAAACTCTTACTCTCTACCATTTAACCATAAGGGCTGTTCAGATAGTTGCAATTTTCTATTGAGGGCCATTATACCACCCCCCTGGAAGGACGACACCTTTGTCACCATGGATATATACAAGGGAAGATCATCCCACATTTGACACCAATGTAATGACGGGAGGCACCTCCAAGGAGCTGTAGTATTACAAGCCAGATACTCTGCATAAAAGGGAATGAGCTAAATTCAATGCACTGTGTGGGAATCGAACCAAAAGGCTTTCGCTCCAAAGTCTGATGCTCTACCACTGAGCCATAAGGGCTTGTCTTTACAGCTGGACTTTACTAGCAACTTGCTATCGAGGGTCATTACATTACCATAGGAAGTGGCGAAAGTTTAATCCCCCCTACTACATTGTATATTATCATAGGAAGTGGCGAAAATTTATCTAGTGCTAAGATCATCTCTACAGTATGTTCTAATAATAATCATAATAGGCACGATTGAGATTGTCATTGCATGTGCTGGTTCATTTTGTCTGCAAATATGCAGGCTTTGAATGAATCTGAAAATCTTGAAATTTCTCATAAAGAATGACTTGTCCCATCAAGTTCGGTTGTGCCCTATAATGTCCCGTGAAGTCCATGTGACTTCCCATGAAATCCCAAGAAATGTTCAGTCTATTGAGGTCCTAACATGCCCCATTGGTGTATGTTGGGCTTAATAAGTCCTTGTGTCCAAATAATCTGCCTTAGCCTACAAGTCTATTAACTCTTCTCTAAATCTTATTTTATTTAGGTTTCCTTGAAGACAATAAAGTTGTTGCAGACACCCCATCATTTGAGCTAAGGGAGAAATGCCTTGGTCCTCTAAAGCTGGCTGTGGAATCCAAAAACAGCAAGCTGGCCTTGACTGCTCTAGGTGGCATACAGGTAACTACGTGCTGTAATTTAAAACATGTAATATTGTGTTTAAAGGATCAAACTCATGTAACATCTTTTCAAGAAAGTTCCCTCTTTTGCATAGGTATAGCGAGAGGGGGTTCATGGGGTGTGTGCGAAACCCCCTCCCCTTCACCTTGAACCCTCCTTTTGTTATAAAATGAGCCCCTGGCAACCCCTTTCGGAAAGAAAAAGCCCAGGCCGGGAATGAACCCCACTCTCAGAAAGATTACTGTTTTTGGGTGAACAATGAATCACACCTTTATACTAGGCATTTGATGATGCGCATTCTGTAATTTGTTTGATTTGTTCGTTGAAACAGTTTTCCCCCTTCGCCTCTCCTCCCTGTAAAACAAACCCCCAGCTAGGGAAAAAATAAAAATACCTTGGTAAATCCTGTCTATGCCTCTGGAAAGTAAAACCAAATTGGCATCCATTAATTTCAAAATTTCAACTTATTAAAATGTGAAAACTCATTCAATCATGTAGGAAGGTTTTATGTTTTAGAAAATGCTTCACGATGAGAGATTCCACTCCAGCATGGAGAGCGAGAAGGAGGAACAATGGCTGCCATCTCAGATTTTGGACTGTGTCTCAAGTACACCTTCCCTCTCTGAGGATATACAGATTGAAGTCATGAAGGTATGGCCGCTAAAAATAAATGGAAATTTTGAGGGTTTCATGGACGAAATAATCCAAATAAACTATCAACTTTTTCCAAACTCATTGAACTATTTTTTGAGATTTCAAAAACATTCCAATAATTCGTCAAAAGGTAGAATAATATTTAAATGTTCTCAATCTATCTCATGCATTGAAAAGGGCAAGGCTAGTATAAAAAAGGATTTTCAAAAATGCGTGGAAAAATAATGCAGTTTTCGACAGGAAAATTCCAAGAATGAGTGAAATTAGTCTGGATGCATAAACTTGACAAGTTATATAAGGCAATAAGAAGTAGATTCTTTGTTTTGCGTCCTGGCAAAATCCAAATTATGCAAGGGTACAAGGAAAACAAACACAAACTCTCGAAAAAACACAAACTTGTTTGCTGAGAATTGTATACATTTTATGGGCATAAAAAGGGATGACATACCAATTTGCAGTGATAACATATACATAGCTATACCATATATTTAAACATGGCTATTATTCAAGGGTAAAAAATAAGAAAATACACAATATATGTCAAAGTAATCAATAACACCGTCAATTTTGACGCATGTCAAATTATCCATCATTTCAACTGATTCTGATTGAACGAAATGTGATGGTACTTTCAGACCCTTGTGATTGCAATTTGGATGTGTTTGTTTTTTCTGATTTACTCAAAATAGTGCAAGCAAGGTGATGCAAAACAAAGAATCTTCTTCTTACGGCCTAATGGCATTTTAAGCCAGATTATGGACCATCATATTATTAATACTGTAGGTTTATCACTTTGCCAGTATATATGAAATTTACATATTTGTATTTATAGGTTTTACTTGACATGACTTTCTCAACTACTTGGTGCATGAATGCAAAAGTCATCACAAAAATATCTCAGGTATTTATTTATTTATTCATCATAAATTGAAATTTTAGTCAACAAAAGGAAATAAAAATCAATGAACAGAGAGACCATGGGCTTTCAACTCTAATTGAAAGCCCATGGTGAGACCAAGCAGTTTGATCTTTTGTGATGTAGTTTCAATTTTCACCTGCAGAATGTAAGAAACCCAGTTAGTATGCAGGTATTGTTGTTTGTTTTTATCAAATTGTATCCAGAATCTGTAGCTAAAATGTACCGTAAAAATGAATTGATGATAGGTTCAACCTACTGCAATTAAACAAAAATAGAAAAGCAATTTAGATTTTAAAAATCTATATAGATAGTTTGAAAAAATGTGATGAATATCAGAATGGCTATAGCTGATGTGGAATGCTGAAAAACTGGATTTTATCATAATTTTTCCATGTATTTCTGCAATTATTCACCCTATTTGTGCACATAAACATCACACATGTCCTTTGAGACACGGCCACTGGCTAGTATCTTTTTGAAATTGTAAATCATCATGACAACTGTTTTGCCACATATATCATCAACGTATCAGTATTTCCAAATGCTTAAAGCTACATTTCCCTTTGTCTATAAGTCATTCTCCCTGTTATGTTGAACTATCTGAATGCTGGGCTATTTTGTATATAAAGTTGTGTGCTATCATAGATTCACAGTATGAAGGATTTTCCTTGGGTGAATAATGTTAACAAAAGTCCTCAAGTGAAAAAATATCTCAAATAGTTTTTCAAATCATGAAAAGTAATATTTGAATGATTAAACTATATTTCCAAACTTTGCACAGGACCTTTAAAAGTACATAGGGAAACAAATCACAATATATACCATTCCAAATGATCTAACATTCAAAGAATCAGTGTCCAATCCTTCCCCACAATTCAGCAACACCAAGTTACACCACTTTTTGGTTTCATAAGTTAAAAAATTTATACAAAAAGAAGGGTGTCTGTTAGTGGGTAAATTGACTGCTTGTGCCTGCCTAAAGTCAAAAAATGCAATTTTAGAAACCAATGGTTTTATGGGAGGTCTCATCCATGGAATATCCCAATTGTGAATTATTTAATGTACATGTACACCTAGCTCAGTTGCAAGATAAAATCCCATTTAATTTTGATGTTGTAGCTTTTATTTGAGTCATACTTACACAGTGGAAAGAAAACTCTAAGAGAGATCTGCCTGAATTTGTTGAAGCAAATGCTCCAGGTTGCCCACAAGAACCATCCTTCTCCAGAGCAGAGAGATTCTTTGTACCATATAGCCTTTGTTGACCAGGTAGTGAATTGTTCACGCTGGGTGGAGGTTGCTTTGGCTTGGGATGATTTTTTTGTATTGCCTGAATTCATGGTGTTCCCTTGGCTTACATAATATATATATGATAAGGATTAAAAAACAAATATTGATTACCTTTAAATTTACATTATGTTCGATCGTGTTGAGTCTTGTACTGAGTCTCTGAACTTCCGTTCCTCCACATTCGAGGTGTGTACCTAGGGGGAGGGGGGGAGTACTTATTTCCGACCATGGTGCATGTTTCCATCCATTCATATGTTGTTTCTATAATGGTTGTGGAGGTAGGACAGTTTGTATTGTGTTCCTCTTGACTTAATATTCAGTTGTCCCGTTCTTCCAGTGCTCAATTCCCCAATTCTGAAAGTCATTTTAACGGAATGTTATAAAAACCCATCGACCTGCACCTTCGACCTTCACCTTCGACTTACAGGGTGTCCAAAAAGAAAATATTATAGAAGCTATTTTTGCCGATCTCAGACCACGCAAGAGTCACTTGATTTGTGGTTCACAGGTGAGATTGTTAAGATCTTAAATTGTAGCAACGTTTGCAGTACTCTAGGTATAGTTACAGGGGTGAAATAGCGTTTTCATGTTATCAAATTAAGATTCTGTTGATGTTGATCGGGTAGTCAATCGGGTAGTTTAAATGGAAGTTTCCCTTTTTAGAATTTACTTCCTGGTTTTGATTCGATTGAATCGAAGTAAGATTAGAGTAAGTAGCGATCAATTACTGTTCTATTTATTGAGTTCAAATCATAGTCTTGTTGTGTGATCAATATTAAAACGGGATATGGCATCAATAACTTGTTATTTAACTTTCAAATCTTGTCCGAAAAGTGATGACGTCACCAGGCATATAAAGTATTTCGCCGATGTAAACTCAAGAGATGACAGCTATAGCTTTCGACGAGGACAGAGCTCCGTTCAATTTCATAATCTATGTGTCGTTGGACTTTGACAATTTTCATAAGAAAAGTCAAAGGTGCAGGTCGAAGGGTTTTTATAACTTTCCTTTTGGCCCGCATTTTGGATACCCTGTAGGTCGAAGCTGAAGGTCGAAGGTGCAGGTCGAAGGGTTTTTATAACATTCCCATTTTAACATTGTATCATTGAAAACAAAATGTAATTTTTAGTTTTGTTGTATTTTCTTTTTGTTTCTGGATTGTATATGGTGTAATATAATTATTTATGACAATTCTAATCAATAATTGTGTTTGATTTCTAGATGTAATTATTATTTGTTTGTTTTGAGATTCATAATTACATGTATATAAAGAACAACTGGATTGCATTTCCCACTTTGTGAAAAATAGACTGGGAATAATATATCCAATGGTCATGATTGAATGTACATTTATGCTGTAGTACAGGGCGTCCATAAAATCTCTACACTGTACACAGACCTTGTTTTGCAATTGTAAATATAATTTTATTATATAAAATACAAGCTAGATGAAGTATTGTTCTATTTAAAGGAGTATATAATGAGCCTTACAGTGAAATAATAGAAAGTCAGTCCGAAGTCATATTTTGAGAAAATCTACATTACAATCATGACCATATTAGGAGATTTTAAGTTCAGAACCCTTTAAATTAGTAGATTTCAGGCCTGTAGCCAGCTTTCTACATGTAAGAACTTGCATTAGCCTTTACATAGACTACCCCGTTGAAATATTTTGAAAACTATTTTCTTCATGATAGGTACCTCGTGACACCAATCAATTCTTCACCCCTTCCCTGGCTATGGGCATGAATTTTTAGAGTGCCCTAGATATACAGTATTGTAGTTATAGCATGATTTTGGTAGTAAAGATATGTTTTTAGATAATTTACAGTATATTTCATGGTTTATATTGGATCACTAGGTCGGGATAGATAGCTATGTAACCAGTCATTCTCATGGCGTAAGAACTGCCGTCACAGCAACCATGACGCAAATGTTGACCGCCATCGCTGAGAAATTGACCAATGAAATGTCTCGTGTGGTAAGAGGGTTATAGAATGCATGTATCTATGTTGTGTCACAACTTTTGAAAGCATTGTACTCCATTAATTATGTTAACACACACCTTATGTAACAATTTTTGTGAAATAACTTGTGAATGATCTTTAGTACATGTACTTAAATAGACCTTTTCTTTAACTGCTTTTACTGCACAAACGAAACAAGGAATCTTGTCGCATACATTGTGGGTAGCATGCTAGCAATGTTTAGAAATGAAAGTTTTCCAAAATCAGCAATAAGTTAATTCTGTTTTATACCAAACATTAATATTGCTACCTACAACCTGTCAGGCTATGACACCATAAATCTAGCTAATATATTTTCTTTGGTGAGGCAAAGGAGGCAAAGTTTATTGGAGAGGTCTATCATATTTTGACGAGTTAAAGCTTGGACCTCCAGATGCATATTCTTTGCATATTTATGCAAATGGGAACGATAAACAGAAAGCTCGATTTTTGATTTTGAGCAGCTTATTCAAAACACAACTGAATTATGATTTTTGCTTTGATTTAAAAAAATAATTGTGATGTCAAGTCTCTTTCTTCTCATTTAGAAAGGTCTGGTTGAGTTACAGTATTGTATGACATGTAGTTCATAGTATTTGTGTACAATATGTACTGTAAAGTTCATATTGTGTTCACATCTGTTTTTTATTAACTCGCAATTTTATCAATTTAACACATTTTATAGTGTTTACTAGTGTCTAATATCTATTGTAACATTTTTTCTTTAATATATTAGTATTTAGAAATAACATGCTATAATATAGATAACAATAGAAAACCTGTAATTTATTACCTACATAAATGATATAACATTATGCTTTAATTGTATTTTGCATTTCTGTCTTTTTCTTTTGGAGCACATTACTGTATTTTTATTTTTTTATGTTGGTTTCTTTTTTAATAATGATACTGTAAAACACTTTTCATTTCATTTTCACTAATGGTGAATTTCTTAATGTATTGCATCCAGGTCACATGTATGCATCTAACTCGAAATGTATCGTATAGTCTGAGGCCATGCACTAGTGGACTGCTACTCTTAATATAAATGTTATCAGTGTTGTTTGATTATTTTCATAAGATATTGTAAGAATACTTCAATAAGTTTTATTATAAGATAAACTATTTCTATGTTGCTTTTTGCGTGCCACTGTAAACTATAAATAAACTAATGAAACCTTCTTTTAAGTTGAAACTATTTCCATCTCCAAATTTTGTCATCAAATGGGTAAAAACACAATTTGATATTTATTCAGTATTTCTGTATTTACTACAGATCCATATGTCATCTATTTTTGTCAACATTATTTTAAATTTAAGACTAATTCTGATACCATTTCACTCCAATATGATTTTGATTTCTAATGATCTGTAGCTTCACCATCAACATACTTTGATACAAACTGTATTACTTAAAATAACTGAAAATACATGTATCATGGCTTGAAGAAAAGGCCTAAATTCAAAATTAACTGAAGTAACCTTTTTCAAGGCAGTTAGTTCACTTGATGTACAAGCAATATTTTCAAGCATCTGTAATTCCCGAAATGAAGGTTTATAGTCAAATCATTGATGGTGCAATATACATATCATTGTGAATTAAAATCAACATATTTAGCTAATTTAATATCAAAATAATAGAGGTTCATGTTTTTTTTCTTGTAGGCAGAGATCGTGTATCATAGAATCAAGTTATTTTAATGATTCTTATATTTACTCAAACTTTTAGAACAATAGAAATTGATTTTCGAGTAAGCATATTATACTATTAAACAATCAAGATATCTATGAAACATGTAAAATAGTATTTGGTGTCTTATAAATAATTACAAATTAATTCATATAAATGTAACTGTTTATTTTAGGAAGACAACACAACAGCCGCAGATGATATCCTGGCTGACTATAGCAACCAAGCTGGTAAGACCCCTATATGTTAATAATTAAATGTCTGTTAGTATTGGAAACAACTTACTTAAGCACATGTCAGAATGAAGAATACGCTTAAATGTAAATTGGTTAAAGTGGTATGCCTTGCCAAGATATCCATGAAAATTCTTTACGTCTGTATCAAAATAATCAAATATTATGATAACAAGATTGTTAAGTTCTTTTTTTGATTTAGTTGATGTGTTTGTAAGGTGAGACATTGGATATTAGAGCATTATTGGACTTGTTTTTTAATTAAGACAGCAAGCTCTGATGCACATCATTTATTCTTTGTTACAGCATTTTGCAATATATATTTTTGTTTTAAAACAAGCAATGAGTGAAATTAAAAGAAATGCTATGACTAAAATGTGTTTTAAAAACTTCCTGTTTTATTGCAGTAGATGTCAGCTCAAGTGAAGCTTTGTCAAATGACATCGTTGGAATCTTACATTTTCTGTGTCAGAAGCTAGCAGGCATACAATGGTAAGAAAGCATTTGTCCCTTTCCATTTGTTCTTATACATGTAATTGTTGCGTATGAGATATGTGGCCATGACTTTCTTAAGTGAATGACTAGGTTTGGAGAAAAAGACAATTAAAAAAAATTCTACCACAGCAAATGTAGTTTATATCAGATTTAATTTTTAGGACACCCTGTAACAGAGATTAGATAAATGCATTAACTCTTTGATTACATGTGATTTGCTTGTAATATGTAAGTTTCTGCTAGATTTAAAGATATCAACCCCTTACAGCATTTTTACTAAGTTTATTATGTTCCAAACAGTATTGCAATTTCAGGCCCGTAGCAAGGGGGGGGGGGTTCGCAGGGTTCAGGGGAACCCCCCCCCCCCCCTGACCAAAAATTCTTTAAATCATGCAGTTTTTCACCATTTTGAGCACTTCTCAAGTAATTTTAGCTATATGTGAACCCCCCTGGAAATTTTTGAAAACTGAACCCCCTCCCTTGGCAAATCCTGGCTACGAGCCTGAAGTTAGTTATAGTTATCACTGCTTAGGTCGTCCTGACCTTTGGCTGTTCTTAAGATAAAAATGAGCGTAATTTTTTGCAAGAATAAGAACGTTTTTGCTTTGATGATAAGATCTCTACTGTATAAAGCAATTTTCTTTAAATCGATTTCTTTCCAGTCAGTTTCTAAAAAATTACATGCAATTTTCTCATCAAATGGTTTCAATAGTCATTGAGATTATCAGTGATACTTCATCTCAGTGGATATACCTGTTAAATGTTACAATAACTTCATTTATCCATTGTTACTTTTGTTTTAGTGGCTTGCAACCAAAGCACATGGAACCATTACTTCTAGAAGGGATCCATGCTGTACTGGCAAATATACCACCAACAATGCAGAACAACAACAACTTCATTGACCTTTTGTGGTAAGCTATTGCACGATTACGGAATAAGTTTCACCCTTGGTATATGCAGGAAGTGATACAATTTGATACTCGTAGCATCTTTCTGTTTCACCTGAAATATCTCAGGGCTGAGAAGAAATGAGATGTCATGGTTTATCATGATAGGGATAGTAGGTATGGTAGGGATACTGAACTGGTTGAGTTTGACAGTGTAACTTGGGGGGGGGGGGCTCCAATAGTTATTTTTCAGTTTTAATACCCATTACTAATATCAACTTTTTCTTGACAGAAATCTATGATTCACTTTGATGATGCTTTAGAATGTTAGGAATGTTACATTATAGGAATGTTATGTTACATTATGTTAGTTACACTATGTTACGTTAAGCTATGTTATGTAACATTACATTATGTAACAATACGTTACTTTACATTATGATATTAAAGGATGTCATATTATACTATGTAATTAAAGGCAACAGCTGTGCCCGACTTTGATCTCACTGCTGGGAAACCCAACCTTAGACAAGGGAATATCATCCCAAAAGTCAGGAACGCAAGATGAAGTTGGACGTGGCTCAGGATGCTCTGCTTCTGCTCCCTCTATATTAGGATCAAGTGCCAAAACTATTTACAAGTAAGAGTAATGAACTAGCACAGTATAGATTTTGAGATACTTACAGTACAATAGTACATGCACTTAAAGTACATGATACAGTACAATAGCCAAACACACCTTCCAATAGGGAGAGATTATTTTGTCTTTTTTTTCATTATTTTTGACATTTTAAAATAATCACAGTTTACTCACTTTCCATGATGTTATTATCGCCAAGACATTAATCATCAACATGATACCATTAGTAGCCTTAAAAATCTTCTATTGTAGACCATGCACATGAAGAATCACACACAAATGAATAGGAGTGTATTAATGATATTTAACGAGTCTTTTGTAATATGCGGACTCTGGGTGCTCTTACTAGCCAACTTTGCCCAGGGGATACTTTTAACCCACACATTTCTTTATTTTTTTCAGTATATGTATAGAGTTAGTACGACATGTAGGAAGTATAAAGTCTCTACGTCCTGTCCTAGAGTCAGTGTACCACAGGATGTTACTCTACCCCCCTCCCCAGCACAGACTTGATGCTATTAAGGCGGTAAAGGAGGTAAATATCATCATTTCTTAAGGTGGCTCAAGTTGGGCACATTTTGAATCTATGTAGCCAACATTTCTGTACTCCTTAGTATAGAGGTAATCAGCTGGCTTATTTGCTCTACTTGGTGGCATACCTTATATGCTAAAGTATAAATGTTTACATACATACAGGATCATAGTAAAAAGGTATAAAAGATGATTGTAAATAGTACTTTTGTAGAATGCAAAATGTTTATATCTAAAAATGGAGCTTACAAAAACACATCATATTTTTCTCCTCTATAGTATATATTCATACATAACATTTTTCCAGTTGCTTAAAGATGCAGACCGACTTGTAGACTTTGCTGGACCTTGTGCTTCTAGCCCTGGAAATGGTCAGACAAATTCTAAGAGAATGCAACATGCTGATACTGCTCTGTTAAAGCTGTGAGTACACTAAACAATTATTTTATATTATTATCTGTATCACATGAGAATACACATAATACATGTTTTATATATCTTTAAATAAATATTGGTAGGAAGATATTTGGGTAGACTGCTCCTTTTAACATTATGTGTAAATCTACTCCTTTAAACATTATGTATAAATCTACTCCTTTAAACATTATGTATAAACATTATATATAAATCTACTCCTTTAAACATTATTTATAAATCTACTCCTTTAAACATTATGTATAAATCTACTCCTTTAAACATTATGTATAAACATTATATATAAATCTACTCCTTTAAACATTATTTATAAATCTACTCCTTTAAACATTATTTATAAATCTACTCCTTTAAACATTATGTATAAATCTACTCCTTTATACACTATGTATAAATCTACTCCTTTAAACATTATGTATAAATCTACTCCTTTAAACATTATGTGTAAATCAGGATCTTTGTAAGGGTACAAGGAAATCAAATACAAACTCATAAAAGAATGTACATGTATGCTCTGAAATGGAAAGCATCTATTAAAAGGAAGATATACCAATTTTGCAGTGCATCATATATTTTGTACTTCACCTGTCCAGTTCATTATCCATAGTTGTATATATCAGGTGTGAAAATTACTCAAAAATTCTCATCATACAGAACGACCTTAACACATTGTTGACCAACCCAAGACATGTCTTCTATGATGTCATAATCATATCTGACCAACCCCGAGATATCTCGGGAAGCTGTCCAATAATTGTCACACAATTTGTACCAATATCTTACCAAATATTGTAGTGGTCACAAGGAGATACATGGTTGGGTGCAATTTAAATATAATCTCATTGGCTTCACAATTGCATAAAACAGCAAAGAGGGTGTTGATTCAGTACATTTTATGCTAATATGAAAACCATTTTGCTCAATTTTTCATCAAAATGGTCATTGATCAGCAGAAAACCTCCAAAATAGCTTTGAGCAGTAATGAGTTAATGTTATGTTATTGTTCTGTATTTCCAGTATAGTGGATGCCCTTCAGGAGTGCTGCCACTGTAATGACTCTGTAGTTGTAATGACAAGTGTACAATGTATAGACCTGCTCCTGTCCTCTGTTGACCAGATTACACAAGGCGTAGGTCTGACTGATCAAATGATTAATGAAATACAGCGGCAATACCTTACTAGTCAACAAGGTAATGAATGTACATGTGATTTACTGTTAATGCATTTATTTAGCCAGGCTGTCAAATTGAGGCAGTTGAAACTTGACTAGTATTAGACCTTGGATATACAGTACCACTAGTACCCTATCGTACCCCTGTCATGGTTACAAGAAATGTTGCATGTACAGAAATATGTAATTTTGAATTTATGAAGATGATGTGCATTGTGAATACATAAATGGGTGCCATGAGGGAACAGACCAAAAGTATATATAAATCACCGATTGAAATGAACATTTAGGAATATAACTGATCATAAAAAAACAAAGCTCCGGTATCCTAACAATGATCATATGCACAAAAAAAGAAACCCATCCCCACCATTTGGAATTTTTTATAAACTATTGGGTAGAGTTGATTATCTTCTGTGATTTGTTTTAGATATAGATGGCAATCCAATTGGAACTGAAACAAAACAAGCTGAGACTGAAACTGAGAAAAAGTGCAATTTAAATCAAAAAGACAATGATGAGGAAGAAAAGGATACTGACTGTCAGGAACATTTAGATGATGATAATGATGATTCAGAAGAAGACAATGATGATTCTGCCTCTGAAAATGATGAATCCACAAACGAGCCAGAAATTCCAGAAAAAATCAAAATTGTTAAACGAACTCTACCAAAATCGGAAAGTTCAATTGAAAAATCTGAATGTGATGATGAAAAAGAAAAAATTGATTTCACAGAAAAATCAGAGGTTTTGAATTGGAGATTGGTGTACAACACTAGTGATTTGGGGGAAAAACTAGAGAGGCTAAACAGTGAGGAGTTTGTAAAAAAGCTGCTGAAAGAACTACCTGGTTGGCTTGCAATGGACAATGTACAGGAAATTGATGAATCCATACAAAATTTTGCATCACAATTCTGTCAAGGTAGAATGTATTTATAGCATTCAGATAAGTTGTACCATTAATCCAGTAAGATGAAACAGAATTAAGATTGAACCATAGCATATAATAAGTCTTGTGCAAAAATTTGATGTCAAAAGTTCTACTTGATATGAGGCAGAAAATACTCTCCTACACGTCCCATCACCTCCCATCAATAGATAAGAGCCATAAGAATTGATGTTTTTGTCTGACCTCTAGTAAACCCTTCTTTCTTTTGCTACATCACAAAACCAGGGTAATATCCCAGGGTATTTCATACTTGAGTGGGTTTGGGGTAGATATCACCCGGGAATATATATCATATCTGAGGAGCGGGCAGGATATATTGTATATGTCCCGCTCTAGGCCAAATGCGGGCAGATATAATATATCCATCCCGCTCCCGGGAATTTTTTCAAAAGTTTAAAAGAGTTTAAAAATTTTCAAAAAAGTTTAAATGTTACAATTCTATTGTATTGAACTGAAGGAATATTATGAAAATGTTAAATATAAATTGTGCTTTTACAGTATAGGCCTATCTTGTCATTTGAAAAAGGTGGTAAAGGTTATATCTACCCCAAACCCACTCAAGTATGAGATACACCAGTTATGTACGGTCGGTTTTGGATACAGTGTTTATCCCGCGGGACATATGTGTATCTCCCTCGGTCCCTGCGGTCCCTCTTGAGATACACATATTTCCCTTGGGATAAACCCTGTATCCAAAACCTCCCAGTACATAACCCTTATATATATGATGTCATAGGTTGTAGGTTGTTGGGCAATCAAGATTCAGTAATGAGTGAAATGAAAAATTAGCGGTAGTGAGCAATGTTCATGGCTAAGGTTGAACTCCAATTTAACATATTGGCATTTAGTCCATTGCCCAAATAAGCAACTCGTTTTTCCAAGTTCATTGACAAGAATGAAAAGTGATTGCCATTGGCCGTCAGGCAATTCTGGGTTTTGAACCTTGGTACTGAGTACAAAGGACAGAATATACAATACAATGTGTATGATTAGATTACTAGAATTCTCTATTATATGATTTCAGATGTTACAGAAAGCCAAGAGTCATATAGTGCTGCGTCAGATGATGCCCCTAAGTTACAGATTATATTGAATGGTGATGGTGTCTATGTCTCCACATATTCAGCTCTACAATTGAATTTGAAGCTCATTCACAGTGCCTACTACACAATGGAGGACAAAAGCCTGCCAATAACTGAGGTACATTCATTCATAATGCTTGTTTTCTAGCATTGAGCTATAATGACTAGACAGTGAAATACAGTTTATATGCTAGAAAACCAAGAAATGATGTGCTGTCAAATACTGTTTGATTGATACAAAATTCCCTACTCTGCAAATGTGCTCCTTTATATGTCATTTATAGGAGTATGTGTTTGATGAAATATGAGATTGCTGGGAAGAATGTTTCTGCAGAAACTTTTTTTTATTCATATTTTTATGCTTTTAAAATTGTTTTCCAGTCGCAGTTCCTGGATGGTGTATATGGAGGCGGTTTGCTGCTTTATATTCCACCATCTTGGCTATCTGAAATATATCGCCAAGTAATAACCATTAACCTCCTACAAGAAGCTGGTTACTCCAACACATCCATTGAGAGGAATGGTGCTCTTATCAAAGCTTTAGCAGGTAACATTTAGTATGGATGCAATTTACAGTTCCCTAAAACATGTTTTAGCAATTTTATTTCAAATATCAAATTCATGCATTTATAAACCTTATGAATCTTCCAAGAACTTCGGGATTATTTTTGACCTTGAAGATTGGATATCTGTGATGGTCATACCATATATTTCCTCTGTTCCCTTTATCACGCTTTTACCTTGTGATGGCAGAAAAGTGTGTATGACTGGTTGGATAGGTGACCACCAAATGTCCTGGGTAAATTATTAGGTTGCCATTTAGATAGTAATATATTGATAAAAGTATGTGATCTTTATAACTGTGTGTCTTGTTTGTAGATCTAGATGGTTTAGGTAGCAATCAGCTTGGAGGCCAATTGATGTCAGACTGTGTTGAAGAACTTGATATGTGTGATGCTCCAAGTAGTGACGAGAAAGATGTCGTAGCAGGTAATGGCACGCCTTATACCCCAAGGATGACAAAAAATACAAGAATACTTGTAGACTGCATGTATTTTTATTGTTTCAAGATTCATTTGGTTTCTTCCTTGAAGGTCTTGATAAATCCAGGTTAGAATGTGTCGAAACATGTGCTAACTGAAATACACAAAGATACATTAAATGGCAGCTCCAATGGTCACCACTTACTGCCCATATTTAATATGATTTAATATGTAGAATCAGCTACATACATGTACAGGGTGACCCCAAAAAATGCAACCCTCCATTTCTTCAATATTTTTCTTAAATGGAGGTAAATTGCTCTGAGATTTAGCACACAAGTACTTCATTGAATGTGGGATCCTCTGGCAAAGTTTTAATAATCATAGTCTTATATTGATAGAGTTATGGTTGTTTCAAAATATGCTCCAGATATCGTCAATTTCACTGAAAACAAACTTGCAATGTTCAAGGAAAACTGTTCATAACACGGATACATTTTTCCCCATGTTTATGGCTCAAATTTTTGCAGCCATTGCTTGTTGGAGTTCTGCAATTGCGGTAGGGTTATTTTCATACACATTATCCTTTGAATAACCCCATATATAGAAGTCAGGGGCACTGAGATGAAGACTGTGGGATGACCATGGGTTCTCCGTCCTAGAAGAGATAATCTTCTCATAGAAATGACTAGTGAGCCAGGCTATGCTATCATTTGAAGTGTGAGGAGTAGCTCAATTCTTCTAGAACCACTGTTCTTGTCTATTGAAACCTGTATGTCACTCTAGAACTGCCTAGAACTTCCTTGGAACGCCAATATTGCGCTGTGTGTTAACAGTAACAGTGTTGCCATTATCAACCTCAAACCAAAAGGGGCTGATGATTTCATGTTTGGAAATTGGCAGCCCAAAGCTGTGCATTTAACAGAATGAAGGGCCCTTTGAAGCACTTCATCTGGAATTTGTGATCCTAGAACACATTATTTCTTGAGTTTACATGTTCAGAAAGAAGGGAATGTGATTCATCCGAAAACCTAAAATTGGAAATGGCAACATTTGGAGCATATTTTGGAACGACCATAACTCTATTAATATAAGACTATGATTATTGAAACTTTGCCAGAGGATCCCACATTGAATGAAATCCTTGTGTGCCAAATTTCAGAGCAAATAACCTCCATTTAAGAAAAATATTGAAGAAATGGAGGGTTGCATTTTTTTTGGGTCACCCTGTATGTGGTACAATATAGTATATCAGAGAATTTAACACTTATTTTGCTGGATCTGTAACTGTGATTTGCTTTCTTCAATAGCATGTATTTTGATTAAGATATTTGTCATCAATTACACCACATGATTAAACATTAATTTCAGGTATTGAGCTTTCTAAGCGTATCTTGGTTGCTTGCTGGGATGGCATAGTGGACATTCTCTCTGTTCTGGTTAATGGGAAGAGTTCATGTGGAATCACCAGTAGCCTTGCATTAATGTTGGGTAAGTACAGGGGATAAGCGTATCTTGGTTGCTTGCTGGGATGGCATAGTGGACATTCTCTCTGTTCTTGTTAATGGGAAGAGTTCATGTGGAATCACCAGTAGCCTTGCATTAATGTTGGGTAAGTACAGGGGATAAGCGAATCTTGGTTGCGTGCTGGGATGGCATAGTGGACATTCTCTCTGTTCTGGTTAATGGGAAGAGTTCATGTGGAATCACCAGTAGCCTTGCATTAATGTTGGGTAAGTACAGGGGATCAGCATATCTTGGTTGCGTGCTGGGATGGCATAGTGGACATTCTCTCTGTTCTTGTTAATGGGAAGAGTTCATGTGGAATCACCAGTAGCCTTGCATTAATGTTGGGTAAGTACAGGGGATCAGCATATCTTGGTTGCGTGCTGGGATGGCATAGTGGACATTCTCTCTGTTCTTGTTAATGGGAAGAGTTCATGTGGAATCACCAGTAGCCTTGCATTAATGTTGGGTAAGTACAGGGGATAAGCGTATCTTGGTTGCGTGCTGGGATGGCATAGTGGACATTCTCTCTGTTCTTGTTAATGGGAAGAGTTCATGTGGAATCACCAGTAGCCTTGCATTAATGTTGGGTAAGTACAGGGGATAAGCGAATCTTGGTTGCTTGCTGGGATGGCATAGTGGACATTCTCTCTGTTCTGGTTAATGGGAAGAGTTCATGTGGAATCACCAGTAGCCTTGCATTAATGTTGGGTAAGTACAGGGGATAAGCGAATCTTGGTTGCTTGCTGGGATGGCATAGTGGACATTCTCTCTGTTCTGGTTAATGGGAAGAGTTCATGTGGAATCACCAGTAGCCTTGCATTAATGTTGGGTAAGTACAGGGGATCAGCATATCTTGGTTGCGTGCTGGGATGGCATAGTGGACATTCTCTCTGTTCTTGTTAATGGGAAGAGTTCATGTGGAATCACCAGTAGCCTTGCATTAATGTTGGGTAAGTACAGGGGATCAGCATATCTTGGTTGCGTGCTGGGATGGCATAGTGGACATTCTCTCTGTTCTTGTTAATGGGAAGAGTTCATGTGGAATCACCAGTAGCCTTGCATTAATGTTGGGTAAGTACAGGGGATCAGCATATCTTGGTTGCGTGCTGGGATGGCATAGTGGACATTCTCTCTGTTCTTGTTAATGGGAAGAGTTCATGTGGAATCACCAGTAGCCTTGCATTAATGTTGGGTAAGTACAGGGGATCAGCATATCTTGGTTGCGTGCTGGGATGGCATAGTGGACATTCTCTCTGTTCTTGTTAATGGGAAGAGTTCATGTGGAATCACCAGTAGCCTTGCATTAATGTTGGGTAAGTACAGGGGATAAGCGAATCTTGGTTGCGTGCTGGGATGGCATAGTGGACATTCTCTCTGTTCTTGTTAATGGGTAGCCTTGCATTAATGTTGGGTAAGTACAGACCAACCAATCAATCAATCAATTATTTAATCAATCAAGCAAACAACACAAATATGTGACTGGCTTATGTAGTAAATAAAACAAAAAGCTTATAATTTGTATACATGAAGTTAATTTATTCATACTGTGATTTTTTTTAAATATATTTTATATAAACTAATTTATATTTAGGTATTTTTCTTGGTTAATATGGCACCTCACATTGAAGTAAATGTATGAAATAGAGTTCTTAACATGGATTTGAGGAAATTCTTTATTTTGATAGTCTATCATTAACCACAATGTTTTTTAATATGATAACATAAATATAAAGACTATTTTTACATTTAGGTGTAGAAGGTGCAAAAGAGGAAAGTCTTAAAGCCAGGGAGGCCATATGTACAAGTCTAGATGGATTACAGAAGGCAGCAAGATTGTCTTGTAAACTAGGTGAGATACAATTGAACATATAGTACAAGTGTTTAACATTTGTAAGGTATTTAGAACATTCATATGTATCTCCCATTGTGGTGGGGAAGAGTCTCTACTTTCTATAAGATGAATGCCATTAGTGCAGCTTCAAATTATTCATACATTCAATCATACGTTTGTTAACATAAAATAATTCATATATTGTTGATAAAAGGTGGAACCACAACTTGTTTTTATTAGCGGATAGATAAGCTATTATCCCTCTTGTGGCACAAACAAATAAAAACAAGTAAAAACAACTAATGTAACCTAGACAAAATTTAAACTATATATGTATTCTGTAAATGCCTTTTTTGTTTCTATAAAGTGTTTTTTTCTACAGGTCTTCAAGCACGCTGTGGGGGAATATTTGCACAATTGGCCAATGCCTCTTGTGTAATGGAAGACCAAAGAACTTTAAGTCCCATGGTGGAACGTAAAGGGTTAAACACAGAACGTAAAGGGTTAAACCTTGCCAACCTTCCTCATCATATAGCCAATCTATCCAACCTGCACAATGTCAGTCACCTGTCAAATCTACCTCATCTGAACCTGCCCAATGTACCTGCCATTCTACCTAATAGAACAAGGGTAAGAGAAAAGATTTTTCAGTAAAACCTGGGCACAGTGAACCCTTTTGAAGCCACATAAGAGTTCACTTCAAAGAGGGTCTTTTATACAGGAGACAGTAGAGTATGTCTACTAAAGACAGGTGTCCATCATACAGATGTGTTCACAAAGTCATGTTTTACTGTATAGCAATTAGCACCCACTAAAGTAATTAATTTCAATTGGTTAGGTGCTCTAAATGAGCTAAAGAAAGTGGCGGATCCAGAAATTAACAAGGGGTGGGGGCCAAATTTAATAAAAAGGCCAAATTATGCCCAAAAATGCCCATTTTTTAGCCCCCTCCCCCTGGATCCACCATTGAAAGATATTAAATATTCCATGCATTGTGGAATCCATAGCATACATTGTATTCATTGAAATAAAAAACTTATCAGGGAATAAATCTTATTTTTAGGTCATTCGTCTCCATGCGGCTCATGTATTGAGTCTCGATGTTGTTTTGAGTATGGGGCTTGAGATGGGTAGCCATTCTGCTGAATGCTGGGCACATGTGTTTAGGTGAGTACAAATTTTGTATAATATGAAATGCATTGTTGATTTTTTTGTAATGCTCTGTGTGTATGCCTCGAGATGGTTTAAAAATAGCTGTACAATAAAGTGTATATATATTTCTATTTTGAAATGTCCAGGACATAATTTTGTTTCATAATCAATGTAATCAAACAAAAAGAGTTGATGTCACCGATTTCATTTTTACTTAAAGGTAGAAAACATTTTGATGCCCCATGTTCGTGAATAGGAGAGTAGGGGATTAAGAGACTGTGTTATTTCTTAAACTGAATGACAGGATTTTTATATTGCACACACTGGAAATGATTGAAGTTAATTTTAAAAGAATAAAAATCATAGGGCACTGACTATTTTTTTATAATCGGTCTTCGAAAAAATACATTAAAATGCCATAACTTGATTCATTGAATCCATAAAAATTATATATCCACCTAAAGTAAAAAACTCTTTTTTCAAAAGAGTGGTATCACATTCTTTTTGTTGGTATTTTTAAAAGTCATTATTACTGATGTTTGTTTTGCTGTAGTTGTTCATAAACATGATCATCATCTGATTGTGGCATCTGTCTTTTCATTTTTTGAATACTCTCCTCATTGACATACAAGTCTGTCGCTGTTGATCCATCTGTAATATCCTCGTACATATCATTGGTGCTTTGATGTTTCATGGGAATGTTTTGATATACAATAGTCTTTTCGGTTGGCTTTGTATGACTTGATTCTCCATACGCTGCCTCAGGCGTGCTTTGCCTATTTCGCTCATATCTGAAGTCAAATGGCACACATTAAAAACTCATAACATGTGCAATTTCTATGTACAGGGTGGTCCAAAAAAATGGAACACTCATATTCTAAAAATAAATATTGATATTATTGCTGAAAACATATCATATTATATACCAATGGATAGGGTATTATCTTTAATTTAATTTTAATTATCCCAATGAACGAAGTTCGGTAGGGATATAGTGAAGCCCTCAGTCTGTCCGTCCGTCCGTCTGTCCGTCCGTCCGTCTGTCCGTCTGTCCGTCCGGAAGATAACTTAAATATTAGTTGACAGATTTTCTTCATATTTGGTGGAAAGATGTATATTGATGAATAGTTTTACGCAGTATATTTGGTAGTATATTAGCAACATCTATCTATTTCACATTTATTCCGTGTTTTTCATCCTGACCCCCAGGGGCCATGTATGGGGGGTCAGGAAAACAGAAATTTTCGCTAATTTTTAGATCTTTCTGAAGTATAGCTTTATTATACTCAAATGAAAGGCAATTAAGAGTAGATTGCAAATATTGTATCTTTTTTCTGATTCGAGCCTCGTAAAATTCAAAATGGCCGTGTAATGTACGATTTCGCAATAATTTTTCAATCCCTTCAACATATGGCTATATAATACTCAAATTGATGGAATTTTGGAGTAGATCACAATTATGGTATTATTTTTCAGATTTGTACCTCAGAAAATTCAAAATGGCTGCTTTGCAGGAATTCGCAATTCTAAAATCTAAAGTTTTCAATTTTAACCAAAGTAATGAGTATAATTGATTGGAATTCGGTAATTGATATTTTGTTCGTTGGGATTTGCTACTCCGCGGAGTTGCCATCATCTAGTTAACCAACTCTGTTAGTTCTCCTCATACGTGGTAGTCACAGAAGTTAGCATCAGGTAATTTGGGGGGTGGGCAGTTATTAAGGGGGAAGAATCAATGTGTCCTGTACATAGGACTTATTACTGATCTCATATTCAGATCATTACATTTCCAACAAGATGGGGCTCCAAGCCATAGATCCTACAAGAGAATGTGCCTCAATTCAAGCCAACGATGGCGACTACCACATATGAGGTGAACCAACAAAATTGGTGTCTTATGAACCACTTGCATCTATTCAGTTCCTAAGGACAGAATTGTTGAGAAGTAGAATTAATTGTCTCAAAACCATATCAATGATGCTACTGATCAGTATAGGCCAAAATTGAGGGCTATTATTAATCAAATTGATCAAAACATATTCGACATCTGTTTCTGTTGACAAAAAACTTGGTTTTTGAAAGCCCGTTTTGAAACGAAAATGACATCATTTGTATTATGGACGCTGGTTGACATGTATCATAATAATTTGAACTTATGATATACCAAATTAAAGATAATTAAATTCTCCATCCGCTGGTATATAATATGACATGATATTTGAATAATCCATATTGTATCATTTATAGCTCTCTGAGTATTTTTTAAAAATATTTAAGTTTCTTTCAAATATCATTAAGATATATCCTCAATATCCATCAAATGCTTTTATTAGTACATTACTATGAGTAACAGTGTTCTGAGCCTTTGTTATCATTGCTTTAACATGGTACATGGCTAATTTTTAGGAACTTAAGCTAGATTGTATGCCATGAATGAAATAGGCACCTTTTGTAGTGATATTTAGCAAGCTATTTGCTAAGCTCAATTCAAACTTGCTTCAAAAAGTCCAGAACTGAACAAGCTTTCATATGATATATAACACATGGCAGTATGCCATCTAGGATTGGTGATTGTTTAGGGGACATTCATTATGAAACACCCTGTAGAAATACATGTACAATGCTGAATTGCTATAAGCAGGGTGACCCAAAACAATTTTTTTTCAAATAACTTCTAAACTATACATGCCATGGTATCAATTTTATTTTTGATATGCATTATCTCCAATCAGCACGAGTGCATTACTAATTAACATTAATAAAAACCCTTAAGTGATATCATTCATAGTTTATTCAGGGTTCATTTTTGAATCACCTTGTGATTTGTCTCATATAAGCTTACCCCAAATAAATAATCAGTTAAAATAGACTCAGTTAACTTCACATGTGTGCTCATATAAAAATCAATTGATTGAGTGCACTGAAGTGAGCTATAATTCTCACCTGAGTTTCATTACTGCAAATGTCACCCCTCCACCAATTGCAATACCAAACAGCACTCCCAGTACTCCACTGATTATAGCAGCTGTTGGTGGGCAATGGACATTCTTGTCTTTTGATGAGGAATTAGCGGTAATTGTAGTCTCAGCCACTGTTGTCATATCGTCAGCTTTTGTAGGAGCCACTTTTGTTGTAGAAACTCCTTTAGTTTTATCAGCTACTGTAGAATCAGCAGTAGTTGTTGTATCACCTACTGTAGTTGTAGCATCAGCTGTAGTTGTGCCGGCAACTGTTGTAGTAACATCAGCCATTGTTGCATCAGCAACTGTTGTTGTAGCATCAGCTGTAGTTGTGTCAGCCACTGTAGTTGTAGCATCAGCTGCTGTAGTATCTGCCGGAGTTGCGTCAGCCACTGTAGTTGTAGCATCAGCTGCTGTAGTATCTGCCATAGTTGCGTCAGCCACTGTAGTTGTAGCATCAGCTGCTGTAGTATCTGCCATAGTTGCGTCAGCCACTGTAGTTGTAGCATCAGCTGCTGTAGTATCTGCCGGAGTTGTGTCAGCCACTGTAGTTGTAGCATCAGCTGCTGTAGTATCTGCCATAGTTGCGTCAGCCACTGTAGTTGTAGCATCAGCTGCTGTAGTATCTGCCGGAGTTGTGTCAGCCACTGTAGTTGTAGCATCAGCTGCTGTAGTATCTGCCATAGTTGCGTCAGCCACTGTAGTTGTAGCATCAGCTGCTGTAGTATCTGCCGGAGTTGTGTCAGCCACTGTAGTTGTAGCATCAGCTGCTGTAGTATCTGCCATAGTTGCGTCAGCCACTGTAGTTGTAGCATCAGCTGCTGTAGTATCTGCCGGAGTTGTGTCAGCCACTGTAGTTGTAGCATCAGCTGCTGTAGTATCTGCCATAGTTGCGTCAGCCACTGTAGTTGTAGCATCAGCTGCTGTAGTATCTGCCATAGTTGCGTCAGCCACTGTAGTTGTGTCAGCTACTATTGTTGTTGCATCAGCTCCTTTGAATTGTATCTGGAAATTTTGTTAAGTTTTGCTTTTTCAAAAGACAAGTTACGTGGCAATTATATTTCTAGTGAAAATAGTTTTGCAACATTTTAAATTCACAAAGACATGTTTAGTTTACTATCTAAAGGAGTTAAAATGGACAGAAAGTTTAAAATGTCAGACGAAATTTGTTAAGATCATAGCAATGTTTTTTGCAGTTCTTATATAATTTCCTGAAAGATACCTGTTCAAAAGTAGAAATTGTTGGAGATTTAAATGCAGAAATGTCCAAGAAGGGGAATCCCCTCTTTTAAATATTTGCCAATTGCCCTAAAAATCAAAGGATTATCCAAAAGTCAAAACTGTCTTTATTCTAGTCCCTTTGATAATAAAATTACCAACCTGATATTGGATTATGGTAAATGATAGAACCATGATGAAAATGTTTATCCTTGTGTTTTTCATGTTGTAATTACTCCGTGAGCGGCTTGTGTTAATGCCTATGTCTTTAATAATCATTCCAATACTTGAGCCAAAATTTTACTTATTTTTCTGCATTCTGTTCATAACTTCCTTGTTTAATAGAATTTTTTTTCTTTTATAACTTTGAACCAGTTAAAGATGTGGATAATTCAGTATTGTATAGTAACTCATTTTCAAAGACACATTCATATCGATTTGTGTATACTAAGTGTACTACAAGTGCAGTTTTTCATAGAATATACATGTACATGTATAGAATATAATATTTATTGAGAACATTCATACCCCTGAGGATCATGTCAAGAAAGTGTAATAGTCATAAATGTTATGTTTAAATATTTTAAAGACAGTTATATACTTTGCAATCTTTCATTTTTATCATATTTATTGCACTATGCTTCATCATAAAATGTTCTTTATTATCTATAGCATTACATCATAAAATGTGAAATATCATCTATAGCATTTCATCATAAAATGTTCTTCATTATCTATAGCATTACAATGGCTGCACGTTCCTTCTTCAATGGGTGTTTTCTTTGATATTATATACTGACCCAGTCTGTACGATTGGGAGATTATGGGCACTTATCCTCATTCATGTGAAGTTTCTTCGCATATGTAGTCTGTTAATTGTAGTTAAATGATTTTCACATTTGAAATCTGTCTTGAAAGTTCTGTTGGTTTATAGTTTGTTGGTGTTATGATTTTTTGTAGTGTGAGTGTTTAAGTTATTCAAGAATTTTAGTTTTAGTTTCAACAATTGTAGAATCCACAGATAAAGGAATTATTTTATTAATGTTTGAACCACACCCGGTGATCGTGAAAATGGGACGGAGGGGGGGAGCAGGCAATTTCCGCTAGAAAATTCAACAAATCTGATAAAATTATTTTTTCAAGACAGAGTTTACGATTGAATTGCAAATTGAATAAGCGCACGGTATGATAAAATATGTTAGGTGTTCTAGGATTATTTTTCAACCGATACTCTTTTAAGATATAAGATCTATTAAAAAAGGCGCAACGCAACCAACGTGCAAAAGTCAAAGTTTTTGCTATAAATCAAGCAACAATGGACTACACGACCTGTAATAAATACTTGTAAGTGATGTTATCATAACTAAATTAATGTCATTGCTGAATTTATAAAATAAGTTTCCATACGTAAAATAAAAAATAATCGAAAATAATTAAAATGGGACGGAGGGGGGGAGGGGACGGAGGGGGGGAGTAATAATTCTATAAAGTGAAACAACTTCACACGAATTCTTGTATTTGAAAAATGAACTCATTAACTTAGTAAGAAACTGGATGATATACCCCTGGAGACTGAAAAATGGGGACATTTGGAGTAAAAGGACTTAAAGTCGCGAAACATCTCTAATCATGTCTTATATACATATTGCTCCCCCCCTCCGTCCCCTCCCCCCCTCCGTCCCAAATTCATTATTTTCGATTATTTTTTATTTCACATATGGAAACTTATTTTATAAATTCAGCAATGACATTAATATAGTTATGATAACATCACTTACAAGTATTTATTACAGGTCGTCCAGACCATTGTTGCTTGATTTATAGCAAAAACGTTGATTTGTGCCTGTTGATGGCCTTGCGCCTTTTTTAATAGATCTCATACCTTAGATGCGTATCGTTTCAGAAAAAATCCCAGAAAACCTAACATATTCTACCATACCGTGTGCCTATCCATTTAGCAATTCAATAGTAAACTTTTTCTTGAAAAAATAAATCTTCCAGATTTGTTGAATTTCCTAGCAGAAATTGCCTGCTCCCCCCCTCCGTCCCATATTCACGATCACCGGGTGTGTGAACACCATGTGTTTACTCCTAGTTTTTTTAGCATTCAAATGCTGCTTTGATTAGGACATTTTTGTATCTTTAATATGAAGTAAGAAGTGGAGTAATTGGTCAAATATGCTTACAAATAGTGGATACCTTCCAAGTCCCCGTAAACAGCCATATTAGAAGCCTAATTGTACCAAGTAAGAATCTTGAGAAGTAAGAATATGTTTAATTTTTTAGAAGTGAATTTATTTTGGACATTCTGAGAAAGGATTGGTATCGATACGGAGAACTGAATTCAACGATGTTTTTCTCTTAAACCAATTATTGAAAACATTCTGTAAAAAACACAGTCCTCTATGTAATGTTGACTGATTGACAACATATATTTTATATAACTGTTTTTGTTAACATTTTTGTTTTTTACTGCAATTGTTTTTTGTTCCTTTTTACCATTTCTTGAGAATGAAATGAAATATCTTTCTGAAGCTTGTTTGAACAAGATAGCATATACAACATTTTCTTAGACTTCCCAATATTATAGTTGTACAAAGGAAATTTTGGTTGATTTAACTAAATGTATTCAAAGAATTAAAACAAAAAACCCCAAAATAGATAAAAACTAAGATTAACCTTTAATTTCATTAACAAGATACTTTTTTAAATCAACCAAACTATCCTTTGTATAATTACAATATTGAGAGACATAAACACGTTGTGTTTATGTCATTTTGTTCCAATGAGGTTCTGATAGATGTTTCATTTCATTCCGAATATAAATTTTTCAGAATTTTTTGATGACTGGTTTAAGAGAAAGTGTGTTCAAAAAGTTCGCCATATCGATACCCATCCTTTATAGTATTAATAATATATAGTTTAAGACATTCAAATACAGTTCTATGCCTAGCATTAGAAAGGCGCAAAACTCTACAACTATACCCCATTCAGGTGATTAAAAGGAACTGCTACTGAATTTAATAGATTTTATTTTGATATAAATCACAAAAGATTAAAGTAAACATACTTGCGTGGCAAATATATAGGGTTATGAACAGAAATTATTTTCTATTCATATTGGGTTTGACATTCTTAGTGGTAATTTTATATAGTTACAGTATATTAAGCCAATCTAATGTAAATGTTTACAATTTTGTCAATATATAAGGAATAATGAATTTAGAATTGAGACTGTCTATAACAAAGTTTTCAAAACAAACACAAAAAACTGATAGATCACTCAAGTTCATTTTCAGACTAAAATATCATTTTTATTATTCATTATTGCAATTCTGCTATTTTATAGTCTTCACAAAACATGAAAAACAACACAAATGAATGTGTAGGCTAGATATATTTTGTGTTAAATAGATTTGAGTTCAGTCTCACCTGGGAGTGATGTCATAATACTGATCTCTGGCTCCAGGCTTAAGACTGTCACAGATTTGATCAGTGCAGTTCACCAAAACTTCTTTATTGTTGTTTGATAATGAAAATGAACAATAAATAAGCAATCTGATTGGTTGAGTGTATTTATGTATGGTTGACTTAAAAGGGAGAAAACCCCCAGGGTTCTGAGATGACATATGTATATAATGTAAATGTGTATTGAGATAACATCATAGCTGATTGGTCAGTCAAATCGACACACAAATGCCGTTATTTGATGTCAGTTTCAATTTTTTCTAAAAATGTTTCGAATAATATTATGTTAATACCTTGCATGTTAACCATGATCATAGCTTTCACATCAAGATAAAAAATGTGTAAGGAATATGCTAACATCAGTTAAAACATCACAACGATGTGTGGTAGTCAGAAACTAGCCAGTGAAAATTCTAACAAACAAAGGTGCTAACTTAGCAAGAGACATAATTATGTCATCTCCTAAGCTTTGGGGTTTTCCTTCCTCTTGGTTGACTTTTAAGAACTGTTAACTGGTTAACTGTTAAGGACAATGATGCTTGAAATAAAATGAGCATCTTAGCTAAGGTTTGGTTTCTTGAGTACATGGTAGCAACTATATATCTTTATAATGTTTTATAAATATTTGCTAATTCTGTATAAGATCAAATGCTAATTATTCTAGTGAGACATTTAGAGTTTCTGTATCTTTAGGAGCTTCATTGACTTTAATCTGAGAAGTTGCTTAAAAATCCCTAGATGTGGGTAGATATTTTGAATCTCAGTGGCACCCCCTGTACAAAAAGTTGACCAGTGCCCGCCCCCCTCCCGGGTATGAATAATAAGTGCATATGAATCCTGTAGGATCCTGCCTGCAGAATTCAGTGGTTAAATTCACTTTTTGCTAGTATTGAGATATCCTTATACCCACTCAGATTTAGTTGATAGAATACAGCTACTCAATAAGAATTTCCATCTTTGCATTTTCTTACTTCACAGTACCTTACATTTATTTGAGGTCATTGAGATCTTAGCAGCATACTGTAAATTGTTGATCATTATAAGTCAAAGGGGAGTTATTACTACTAGCATCTCGACCTCACTTTTTAAGAAATGCATCTCTATGTTCATTGTCTATGAAGTTTCTCATAGACATGGTTTGTATCTGAGTCATCTTTAATGGTGTTTGCCTCATTCACATATGCATGTTCATATGTTTTTCCGACTTCTCCTTTCATATTTGGACCACTCTTAACATTGACATAATCGTGGGGAGTGGTTGCTGGTATGTCTGCAATGACATCATATGTGTCTTGATGGACCTGGGAGTTATCTTGTTGGTGCTGCATGGGGATATCTTCATATTTAATACTCTGTTGAATTGGCTTTGTTTGATCTTGCTCTACATAAGCTGCCTTCGGGGTGTTTTTCCTGTAAGTTGCAAAGTAAGGGAATCAATGCTTGATATGAATTTTTGTAAAATTGAATCATTAATGTACATGTAATGTGTTCAACAAATGAGCCTGGCCATAGGAAAAACGGTCTTATCACAAAAATTAGAATTGTGCTACAGAGCCAAAAATGTGCCCAAGATTAGGAGGAAAATGTGCTAAATTCAAATCCGACTTTTTGGTCTATATATGGAAGGAAAAATTGTTAAGACACAAGCCATGGCTCATTTGAAAGGTCTCTTTGTGCTTTTTAAGATAAACAAAAAATCAGAATATTGAAAAAATCTGTGATAAGACCCCTTTTCCTTTGGCCCAGCTCAAATATGAATGGAGCTAAACCAATACGGAACGTATACTGTATTTTTATAATCAGACAATCTATTCTATTGAAAAAGTTCTCACCTGAGTTTCATAATTGCAAATGTCACCCCTCCACCAATTGCAATACCAATCAGCACTCCCAGTACTCCACTAATAATAGCAGCAATTGGAGAAGTTGTAGTAGTTGCTGACGGGGAAGTTGTAGTAATTGCTGGTGCTAATGAAAAATGATATAAATTTGATTTTTAGTCATTTTTTCTCTTCCCTTTTTGAATGACCCTCATGCTCAAAAAAGCCCATGTTGGTGGTTTTGAGGATTCCTTCTAAAGGTTCTATGTACATAAGGCATCAACTTATTGTATCAGGCACGTAGCCAGCTTTCAGTCAGGGGGGTGCGATCGCTCAAAATATTTGGTTTTCAGTAAGAGGGTGCAATTGTAGCATCAACAAACAAAAAAAAACAAGATTTATTTTGAATTTTGCAAAAATTGATGCAACTTCCTTCAAAATTGAGCTAGAAGCTTCAAATAAAAAGCATTAAAGGCTCTTTTCTTCTCTCTCGTGGTTTTGTGTATTGATTATGGGGGAGGGGAGCGTGCGATTGCAACCATTTTACCCCGCCCCCTGGTTATGCCTATGTATATTTTAGAAGTAATTATATTAAGTTTGAATAAAATCTGATCAAAGTACCTGAGTTATTAAAGTTAAGATAAATTGTTCAGATTTATCACTTACTACATTCAGAGAGTCTGGACACATCACTGGATTTAATGTCACTGTTGCTTGCATTGCCTATACCTGTGTTAGCCAGAACCTGTAAGTATATTGTTATTAATATAAAGTCTCCGTAGTTCAGATTTAGGCAAGTTTAGGTTTACATAAATATTACTCTATTAAAATGTCCCATTGAAAAATCAGTTCTAGGAAACAAAGCACATGAAATTCAACTTGAGAAATCAAAATTGAACAATGTATTCCGCAAAATTAGATTTGCTCCTGACAATTTATGAAAAATATTTAGAAAAGCTCAATGTATTTAAACTTTCCCAATAATTATGATGAACAATATATATAGGATATCCTATGATTTTGAGTGATATCGTTATTATGAGTTGACTGGACAAGTGAGCACAGCGAATGAGTGCTGATTTAATGGTATCAATAATGAGTGGATTAAAATGATATCACGAAAACTCATAAGTTGTTATTTTGTTTATCCCATACTTCAGCTATAAAGCTAGCCAAACATTTCTAAACAACATCCATTCATTCATTCATCACATGCCATCATGAAATCAACTTGAAAAATACATGTCACACTTACGTGAGTTTTCGAATCCACGGAAAAAAATTATATCTGTTGAACATTCTCCATATTCTACAGATATCACTTTTTCCACGCATTTGCAAAATATCATTAATATAAGTGCATGTTATCATACAGATTTGATCTCATCCATGGGATAAACATGTACTCGTATACTTACAGATATTGTATATTTGAATTCAGCATTGAGGTTCAAGTCTTTAGTATAGGCTGGATTATTCCCTTTTGCAGTCACCATAACACTTCCAATATGAACTGAGTTATTCTGGAAGGAAAATGTAATCAGAAATTATCTTAATTAGCTTGTGAAACCTTACAGAAGAATTGGTGTCTCATTACTATTAGTATACATTAGTTTCATCACTTTCCAGGAAAATTCATAAAGATTCCTGAGATTGAACTATTAAATGATTTTAAAAGTTTCTAAATTATTACAGTTCCAATTCCAGCATAGGTGATGTAGTATCTGCCAATGAGTCCATTCTTTTCTTCTGGCAGTGGTTCATTCCATGTTAGCCTGACAGTTGCGCATACATTCTCCACAACAGTTGTTGTCAAATCCTGAACAGGTCCTGGGACTGAAAACAAAAGCAGCACGATTATTACACCCAAGCCAAAACTGTTGTTTTGGTTTCAGCCAATTTATACAAGTTTTCCCTTGTATTTTCTAGTCTAATTAAATAATTGTGCTGTATGCTATATCTACCATTTGTATGAAAGAAATGATTAAAAGTAAGTATGACTCACAGTCTTCTGAAGTTTTCTGATCCAATGTAGCATTTGGACCCGGACTCTTATCTGTGACTGCTCTAACGACGACTGTGTAACTCCAGTATTTTCGAAGATCTTCAAAAACTTTTTCTGTTGTATTTTTATCTACAAAGAAATACTACATGTAATAGAAAGAGAGTTGCAAAGATTTTGAATTGCAGAGCTGAGACTGCAAGGTTTGATTCAGATATTCATATAAAAGTGGGCTTAGAAAATAAAGTGTTGATTTTGCCAATTTTGGAAATTGGAAATAGAGAAATTTCCACGTTGAGAAGATTTTAATACAGCTGATATGTGTTTACCTGCCAAAAAACCTCAAGTAATATTTAACTGATGTGAGCTTCCATGAAACGAAAATATTAACTTGTAAACAAGGGTTCAGTTGGATTTGGATTAAATACAAATCAATTTATTATTTATTAAATGTAACACTAATTTGTAAGTTTTAAGAATTTTGACAATTTGTATTCATAAAAGAACACTTACTAGATTCACCTCTGGGGTTATCTCCAGGATTCTCTGTAGCATACAAAAATATATCAAAGTTAAATGGGCAAGTCTCAGATGGAGCTGTCCATGTTGCATGTAGTACAGTAGAGCTTATGTTTTCAACATTTAATCCAGTTGGTATACCAGGTGCTAAAAATGAAGAGAATAGTTATATATTAATAATAATTATTTACCATTAGAAAAAATATGCAGCAAGTGAACTGATTTGTGAAATCAAGTTCTTGTGTTCATTAACAAAATTATTTTTTGAAGATTCCTTCTCAAGCAGAATGCCTATGCCCAGAAGACATCTGCTAGTAAAATTCCAACCCTTCTATCAACTGATATTTGAATTACACCCAGAAAGATGAATGAATGGCTTCTCAGAATATCCCACTTGAACTTAATATGGTAAGATAATTATCCCAACCTACTTGATCATACATGATTGATATTAAGAAATTCAATATGGAGACCTACTGTTAGTTAGCAGAGTTGCAGAACTGGGTGGTGAAAATCCTTCAGTTGCAAAGCCAACTTTACTTTTAGCTTTTATTGCAACAGTGTACTTGATACAAGGTGAGCCTGCTATTACTGCAGAGCGTCGATCCGGAAAATATACATCCTCTGTTATATTATTGCCAACATCTTCACCTGCGTAGTAGGAGTACTGATACTGAATGATGACACCATTGGGAGCAGAGGGTGGTTCCCATGTCACTCTGAATTGTCTCTCCTGTATGTCAGATATAGTAGGTGAAGCCATTTGTCCAGGATCTGTAAAACAAATGGTGGTTTAAATATCTATAACTTGCTTTAATATTTACTGTCACTTCAAGTTCAGCACTAAATGAAGGATCATGTATTTGATTTTCGTTGAAATGATGTTATTTATCTGAATATCAGCTTGTTTAAGCTGTTTCTATGAAACCTATTTCTTGATCTATAGTGGGTCTGCTGTTTCCTGTGTTACCCTGTAATTTCCTGTTTTGCTCAAAAAGCTTATACTCAATAGAGGCTTTTCCATATAGCTTTGAAATCTTGTTAAAGTCTCGTTTTAATGAGATTTTAGGGGATCTGTATTTTTGACCAGACTAAAATTTTCTTTTATTTGATGGCATATTTGAATTCTGTGTGTAATTTTCTATCAAAACAACTTTAATTTGCACTGTTATTTACCTTTATTCAAATTCTAGAAATTTTCAAAAAAAGGTTTCTGAAAAAGGTCAGGCTAAATCCTCATTGACACAATGCACATGTTAATAATATCATAAAGTTACATTCCAATGGTGTTTTAAGTTGATCCAAATGGCATTACTTGTTTAAAGGGTGACGCATATCGTTTAGCAAATCGAATGCTCGTTTCTGGTGTTGCTCATCGTTTAGTATAAAAGGCCCGATCCCGGAATAATACTCAAGGGTTCACAGGCTCGAGGTCGTTGTGTCAACACCTCTAACTGTTATATAGCATAAGTATATTATAGATCGTCACATATTTATAAAACGGTGATTTTTATTTTGACAAATCAATTCCACATGTATCACTGGGGGGTATCGTGATGCAACAACACCGTGTTGTTGCATCAAGATGGCCAGACTTCCGGTGATAGATTTTCGTACGATGTTTTGTTTTCCCAATTTACACCCATTTCTAGGACGAGTTGCTCAATAATCATACGCATGCAATTAGCACATGATCTATATTTTAAAAAACTGTCATTGGTATACATGTAGCATCATCAAGAAGCGATAAATTCGTGGTTTTAATTCCTCACTATTGATGCAACAACACCACTCTGTTTCTTATCGATGATGCAACAACACCAATGTGCTGATGCAAAAACGCCAATATAATGTATCATTGAACAACAAGAGAAACTGTTTTATGTTCTGTTTACAGGTGTAGGTCGGGACATGAATAAAACCCGTGAGTCAGTGGTCCATGGACGAAACGTATTTTGTTTGGTTTCTTTGTCTACAGTATATCAAAGTTAAAGGATATACAAGGCAAACTAAATAAAGTACAGAATCCTCGGGAGGCAATCTCATTGATATTGTATCTGAAAAATAAAGATTATACATTTTCTAAATTAAATGCCCTTGATTTACCGTATGGAAATTGCTTACAAATAACTAATATAATTTTGGAAAGACAACAGATATCAGTCATTTTGTGTTGTTAGTACCTCAATTGAAATACTCAATTCTGATTGGTTGATGAGCGGGCAACAAAATGTATTGTTAGTACCTCAACTGAAATACTCGATTCTGATTGGGTGATTAGCGGTCAAAATTATGTACTGTTGACCGCTACTAGGTACTGTTGACCGCTACTTCTGAAAAAAGTTTCATGACGTCACAAAAAAACATGGGAGACGGACATTTTGTAAATGTTGATGAAAATGACTTTACTAGGCGACAAGTATAGCAAAAATACAAATAGAAACTTAAAATTAACATTAATTCACTAACGAGTACGCCGTGATGTGCCAAATACAGAGTTAAGCTTCTTGCACTGTCTCCATATTTTCTAAAAAAAAATATTGCTAACGTGGTTCGGAGAAAAGGTTGTGAAATGAAGCCATGCCGATTGATGATCGTCGTCTATATGTGTATTATTAGTTTACTCGGACTAACAAAACAATTGTAGACCTCTCCATTCGATCAACCGTCAAAATCATATACCTCGACTGTAAACCTTGAAACTACTGTTGACCTCGACCTTCGGTCTCTGTCAACAGTATTTTTTCGGTTTACAGTCTCGGTATACAATTTTGCCGGTTGGCCTCTGGGGAGGTCAACAATTGTAAACTGTTGACCACTACTAGGTACTGTTGACCCTTATTTTTGAAAAATTGTTTTTTTTAATGTTGAAATTTTTTTAATTTTGAAAAAATAAGTTGTGTAAAAAATTACAAGTATTCGACGGTTTGGGGATTTTTTGCTAAAATATGATACCTTTACTTATCAAATATGTTCACCTGATATTCGATTATATATTCGTCCAATTATTATATTATTTGGACTAACAGAACAATTGTTAACCTCTCTTTTCGGTCAACTGGCAAAAGTGTCCTCGACATCTGGTCTTGATCAACAGTACTTTCAACGTTTACAGTATCGGTATACAATTTTGCCAGTTGACCTCAAGAGGGGTCTACAATTGTATATTGTATATCCTTTGTTATCCCACCCAAATTATGATGTCATATATCAAGTTGAAGAGTTGTATACGCTGCTCAGGAGTTTACGCTATCCAGGAGTTGTACATCGTTCTCAAGAGTTGTATAGGATGAGTGTTGGTTTAATGATATTGCAGTTATACAATGCTATTATATAAAAGTTATTTACTGAGAGGGACTCAATATTGGTTTTATTTCGAGAGACAATATGATATTTCCCGAGGGCCCGGGATATCTGGGATAACTGTACCCCTATCAATTTACCTTTTTGGGCCCTAAATCTTATCACTTTTGTTTACCTTTTTACTCAGTCGGAGAGAAGGAATCCAAAGAGACCAATAATTCTACATGTGCGTCGTGCAAGATTTCCATTAAACGTGTAACTAAACGGCCTCTCTAATAAAGTCAATTAGACGTTTTTACACGTTGGCTCTCCAAATTGTAGGAAATAAAGAATCATGTCATATTATATCATAGATGAAGCAATCATCCCATCAACATATCAGCTCACGAATGTCACAGTTAAACTGTTTTAGTTATTATTTGATAAACAGTGGTAACGTACATCTACTAGTTTATCACTGTTCCACAGATGGATGACAGATAATATCATGATAATATCCAATAGCTCATCATGTTTACCGAGAACGAAAGATGTTTGTCCACCATTTTGAATGATACTAACTGGAGTCGGGGCCATCAAGCTATGGAACAGTGGTTTATGAAAATAGATTGGGTTACTAAAGCTTGCCATGTTAAAGGCGATTGAACTATGTTATAGAATAACGTCCAGTACATTATAATATGTAAAAGTATAAATTTTTGAAAATACATATAAAGGATCTTCGCCCACAGGACGTGTATTTTGAATGCCTTGAGAAGAACGCAAATATGGGTAGGCTAATTGGTAACGGTATTGCAATAGTAGCATTTAAAAATCTGTTCCTCTCGAGATTTATGGTCTTCTGAAATTATACTATTAATTGGTGTTGCTGCATCATTGCTCAAATCTAGAGGAGTGTTGTTGCATCTTCGGTTTGGTGTTGTTGCATCAATAGTGAGGAACTAAAACCGTGAACTTATTGCTTCTTGGTGATGGTACATGTATACTAATGACAGTTTCTTTAAATATAGATCGTTCGCTAACTGCACGTGTATGGTTATTGAGCAACTCGTCCTAGAAATGGGTTTAATTGGGGAAACAAAACATCGTACGAAAATCTATCACCGGAAGTCTGGCCATCTTGATGCAACAACACGGTGTTGTTGCATCACGATACTCCCCAGTGTGTATGGGTGAAGTTTCAGGATCTTCTATTTGTGTATAATAAGGAAAAATTGACATCTAAATTTCCCCATAACGTAAAAGCACACAGCTTTGTATATGAAATATCCTACAAATGAAACAAAGCAATTCTAATACAAGGATTTATATTGGCTGTTGTACATATTCTTTGAACGCAATCACTCTATGGATAATGTTTTCAAAATCATTATAAACGGATTACTTTATCTCAAAGACAATTTCAATAAACTGGATTTTACAGAACTCCCCTTATTTCTTAAAAATGGACTGATCCAGTCGATTCGCCTGGAGCCGCCATATTGTTTTTATACGGGATGCTTATCGGAACCCTTTAAACAAGAAATTAAGTGACTCTTGTGATTAAGTTGCCATGTTATTTAGCCCTACCAATACCCATGATGCCATCTATTTTTCTAATTATATGGAGGTCAATTAAAAGTGTTGTACAGTCTCAGGTTTGTTGCAGATCACACATGGTACAGAATTTAAAAATATGATAAAGAAAAGCAACAACAGGCGAGTACGATCTGAGTCTGTAAATGTTGCTTCCTGGGTGAATTTATAAAGTTAAATCATGTATTAAATCATATCTACTTACACCACTCTTCTGTTCTGTTGCTTAACTTAGCTTCATGCCCCCTCCCAACTGTGTTAACTGGCCACACTGTTGCCTCATACATATCATATGGTATAAGTTCTTCAGTAGTGTTATATGTGAAGGTTCTATCCATCTCATTATATGACATTGTTTCTTTGGTTCTGCAGTTCTCTATGACCCTTGTAATATTGGCCTGAGTATCTTGTGAACTCTGGAATTAAGAAAATGATTTAAGCAACTCAATTGATAGAAGCGTAAAGCATTCATAATTGATAGTTCACACTGCACATTAGCCCTACCATGAAGATAAGAAATATTCAAACAACAGACAAAAAATAATTTAATTCTTAAGAATTCAAAACACAAATTGGAGGAAAATTTTTCTTCTATTCATCAGTCTTAAAAAGTGCATTTTTATCAAAATCTTTGAAAGTAAAAATATGTTATTAGATTTATGCTGATTACTTTCCTTTCAACACCTAATTCATTATCTTTTTTTTAATTTCTTAATCTAACCTTATATCATAAAACATGATATCTGTTTATCCCATGGGTGTAAACATTAATTATGTTGAACTTAATACATGGAATGAATATTTAATTTTACTCGATGAAATAGTTTGTAGTACAGTGCATTTGTTATATGTATGCACAATGACCAAAGCGACACAATACAAAATCTTACAAGTAAACACAAATCTTCTACAAGGAATATACGTTTGCAAATATTTCAACTCACCGCACATTCATCACAATTGTAGATTACTCCTATCACACATGCATCCTTATCTTTGTTGAATATCCTCAGTATGTACTGACTGATGACCCCATTTGGTTCACTTGGATAAGTCCACATATACTCTAATGAAATATGGGTCTTACTTTCAAGTGAGAATGTTGCCACAGCCCCAGACACTAAAAATATAACAGTTACATAATAGAATATTTCCATGTTCATATGCACAAATAAAGTAGAATGAGGCAATACAAAAAAACAGTGGAAAAGTAAATAGAGTAAAAAAGAAAAGTAAAATAGAGATAAAAAATGTCATAAACAATATGCTGCATTCAAATGCAAATCATACTAATCGTTAAATAAAAATAACCATAGAGTTCTGACAAAGCCCCTAAATATATTTTGGGTGTTGTAAGAGTTCAGGGTACCTGCCATATCTTCTTTCATGTACATCAAAGCAAAATGGTACATAGTATTGTAACAGAAATCACATATGGGATATACTACTTACAGAAGAGACACAATCCTAGGTCTTACAAAATATGATAGACTTTAATTATCCTTACTTGGTTCCTTTGTTTTTGTGGTTACTTCATTAGATCTATCACTTGTATACGCTACATTCTTGGCCTTAACCCAGAACTTGTAGTCTTGAGCTAAAACAGTAATTGATAATTATGTACCAGAAACAATCAAACAAACAAGCATTATAACACACATGTTGTAAATGAATAAACACAAGGAGCTCAGGGTTCCCAAAATCATGACACACTTGGACGTGTTACAGGTACATAAAGCAGGTTTGTAAAAACCTGTATTTTCATCAGTGGGCAAATATAGCTTTACATCCCGCCCTGAGCGTCATAATCGCCACTCGCATATTGGCTAATTTTTTGTAACGTTCGCATAATAACTATAAACAACAATGGAGAAAAACGTATGGGATCTGTTTGATGGTTTAAACATGTTAAAGAAGGAAGGAGCATCCGGTTAATCAAAAATTCAAGAAAATAAATGCGGAATATCCGAAAGAACAGGAAAAGCCTATCATGGCCAAGAAAACAAAACTGGACATGAATATTCTAAAATATTTCCATGATTGAACTGTGGCCAATTCTGGGGGCAAATTGAACAATGTGAGCCAGATGAATGGTATGGGATAAACAGATCATCCTATAGTCGATTCAGGATATTGGGATTATCCTGAGGCCAATATAATATATCTGTCTGAGCGATGTCATAGTACTTTTACAAGTTTTACAGAAGTGAACATGACATGGAGGCCAGGTCATAGTTACAATAACTAATAAATGTATGTACCTGGTTTGAGATTTTCTACTGTGTATGATGTTTCAGGACCAGCAGTATTCTCGCTAAACACTGTTTTATTGGGATGTTCAATCTCTATGATGTAGTATTGTATAACACCATTTGGTTCTAAAGGGGGTATATAATTCAGTGTCACTGTAGTATCCAGGACCTCACCAAGATTGAGACTTTGCGGTGGAGATGGAGCTGGAAAATCATCATTATTTTAATTTGAATGTTCATACTATGGTATACAAAATATAATTCAATTATGATAGCAGGTTGCATATAGATCTAGCTGTCTACTGTGTTGCTCTTGGAAATTCAGAATGTTATAATAAAAGTACAAAACTGAGAATTGTTCAAAGCTGGATCACATTGAATAGAATCAATTGTTAGGGTTTATTTCAGACTAATGAATTTCTTTACTCCAGGTCAGAATATTGACATTTATATTTTGTTTTATATAAAACACACTGAGATTATGGAACATCAAGGTAAATGTGTCAGTTTGAAAATGTTTCATAATTGAAAAAAGATATCCTCAAGTTTATAACTATTATTCTATTACCATCAATATCTTTAGAGGGCATAGAGTGCAATTGATTATACTCAATAATTGCTGACTACATTATCTCGATCAAGTTTACTATTACAAAATTTACTATTTTGTGTCAATGCTGTGTAGCAATTATCTTGTTTTCTTACTGTCTTCATCCATTGTAGCACTGGATGTGGCAGCAACACTGAAACATTCAGGAGAGGAAACCTTTGCCACAACTGATATATCATATCTTTTTCCTGGAGTAAGACCAGTGAATTGTACAGTCCTCTTATCGCCACCAACAGTCTTCTTCATTTGTGGAGAATTAATTGTGATTTCATACTCATCAGGATCATCATGGCCATCAGTCTTCAACCAATTTACAGTTAACTCTCTTTTTGTCACTTCAGATGATACTTCAATCGGAATGCTTGGACCTATAGGCAATGGATATTAGATATTAGTGTAGGTTGAATAATATTGTATCCCATACATCATTTTTGATTACATCTTTATTAGGCAAAAAAGGCCTAACTGTGAATCTAAGAAGTGGCAAAGAAATCTATTTTACTATTCAAAAAGGATTAATGGATTCGAAAATGTGAAAATTAACAATAGTGAATTATATAAGAGTATATAAATGTTCATTCTGTATATCAAGTTTATACTTGAGAATATAAAAGAATAATGTGTATATCTATATAATAATCCATTATTGGCCATTATTTTTGTATTTAGAATTTTAACAATACTGTAGAATATTCAAAATGAAAAAGTGTCTCCATCTACTTAGCACTTACATGTATCTATATTGTAACTCCATATTATGATACTTGATGATAGACTTACACACATTTCCCATGCCATTAGTGTTGGTACTCTGCTGACCATTACTGACAACCCATACAGAGACTGTATACTGTCTGGTTGGGACTAGGTTATTCCATGTCTTAGATAGACCTGCCTCTACATCCTCAGGATCAGAATCAACAGTGAGGAGCTGCACTTTGTAGCTTGATACATCTGTTCCAGTTGGCCTGGTCCATGTAGCTGTGAGGTCCCTTGTTCCCTGTGCGTTTGTGATTAGAACAGTCTGTACTGGGAGTGGCTCTATAAGGCAAGGCAACCAAATTATTGTACGATACTTTAACTTAGATAGTCTTGAGCATGTTTAGCAAATTAAGATTCAAGTTAAGAGAAACACTCTATCTCTTGTGAGTCTTGTTCAGAACAAATTATACTAGACAGATGAGAAAGTCCTAATTATATACATGTTACAGTTGCCTTACTTGTTACGAACTCTGCAGATGATGTAGGCTCACTAACAGTCCCCCCATTTGTCATTGCTGTCACCCTAGCTGTATGACGTCGACCTGGGTAAAGACCTGTACATGTTTCCTCTCTTGATGCTCCTGCAATATTGTCATCAGTAAACACCACTTTGCTGCCAGTCACTTCCAAACACTCCAGTTTGAATTTATCTACATTGCCATCTCCTTTTGTCCATTTTACTTTTGCCTCTGTGGTGGTAACATCCCTAGTGTCCACTGTGACAGTAGCTGGCTTATTTGGCTCTGAAATGTCAATATAAAAACTCAGTATTTTAAATAAAACAAATACTGTATATTGATGGAAGCTATAAGGTATACTACATGTATGTGACTGCCATTGGTGCAAGATCTAATTTCAGTAAAGTAACACATAACACGGATATGTATGACATAACATGGATTGGCCATCCAATACATGCAAGGAAAAGAAATATGGATACAAGTACTATTCACACCAAACACATATAGACATACACAAAATGTACAAACCATTGTTTGGTGTTTCTATAAAAGATGCAATTATTATTTCCATGAAACAGGTTTGACTTACATTACATGTTTCCTTAGTAGGCCAATGTGCTAAAATGTAAGCTGGATTATATAATATTAAGATAAGTTAGAAAAAAGCATAAAGGACACATAAAACACTTAGACATGGCATTTCACGACAATATGTCATCACCAGGTTGCAGTAACAAAAGTGAAACTATTTTTACAGACATCAATACTGAATGCCACTTATTAGACAGGTCACAAAAACTGTGGCAATAGTCGGACATTGTCACTGATGAAAATTGGCAAAATGAAACAAAAAGGAACAATTACTAGAACAAATTGTCTCAATACATCTAAATATGAGCTTATCAAAAGCAATTACCTGTATAGAACACCCTCAGTAAGTTTAATGAAAATAGCCTGTGTGGTATCATTGGGGAATACTTCAGTGACATCCTGCAGTTGTTCTCATGAACTATAGGTAACTCTGAATTTATTATAACTGTCATCTGTGGGTGTCCCCCACTGGATTGTTATTGAGGATGGGGTGGTGTTGGTAAGTTAAAGCAGATACTGTATAAGTGGTTAGTTTGCTGAGACATTTAATTTTCCGATTTATGCTTAGTGTCAGAAAATTAAATGTCGGAAAGATAACATCTAAAATCAATTTACATTGTGAATTGAAGCTGTTATGATAAGAGTCAAGTCAAGCTATGAGACTGGCATGATATTTTCGGTGCTAAAAATAAATCCCTTGTAATTAACCAATCAGGAGGAAATAAAGATTAAACAAACTCACATGTCACATAATTCCTCTCAAAACGCAATCAAAGCATTTTAATCCTTTAGCATTTCCCTCGCTTATATCTGTCTTCAAGTGTCAGCCACTGTCTCATACGTTAGATAATTACTTCCAAAAACTTTATCAGAAACATTTTAATCTGTACCGAATGACCATTGATCACTAAATAAAAATGATATTGGCGAAGTACATAGCTTTTTTCCTGGAGACGTCGCCATTTCTTGATGGTTCCTCTACTGAATAAACCTGACTTTGGGTGGTCAATCACGTCACGTAAGCTTACACGCAGTTGGATATTTTGAGAATCAGTTAATTGAGTATTGAGAATCTTATTCACTTAATTTCAGACCTCTCATAATAGGTTTGGTGTGTCGTAAAATTAAAATTTGGAAAAACGTTCGTATTTGTTAATCGGCAAATTAACCACTCAGATTAACTACCACCACTTATACAGTACTGAATTTGACCCTAAAATTATATTACTAAACATAGCAGATGGGTTAAAAAACACAGTACAAGAAGCTGCTGCTACTGATTCCAACTGATAGATGATAATGACTACTATATTTTACAAACATACATTACTTGAATATCATAGATAAATCAATTTAATATTTGAACATTTCTAATTAAAAGACTTGACCAATAAAAAACCAATTATTAATAATTAATAAAAAGTTATGTTTGGGAAACGTATGTTTTATGGATCGATCATCACTGGACATTCCAAAGTTATTGGTGACATTGATCTAAAGATGGGAATACAATATACATGTATATGTCTTTTATGGACAAACATGTATTACTCATGTTTATCCATAAAAGTCATATATGGTTTTGTTTTAAACACTTATTAACATTAAAGGGTGACGCATATCGTTTAGCAAATCGAACGCTTGTTTCTGGTGTTGCTCACCGTTTAGTATAAAAGGCCCGATCCCGGAATAATACTAAAGGGTTCACAGGTTCGAGGTTGTTGTGTCAACACCTTTAACTGTTATATAGCATAAGTATATTATAGATCGTCACACATTTATAAAAGGGTGATTTTTATTTTGACAAATCAATTCCACATTTATGGGTGAAGTTTCAGGATCTTCTATTTGTGTATAATAAGGAAAAATTGGCATCTAAATTTCCCCATAACGTAATTTTTTTTTTTTTTTTTTTTTTTTTTTTATGTTTACTTAGCTTTCTTTATTGAACATCACATGGTATTAGAAGATTAAACATCAAAAGCACTCTGCTCCCAAGAGGTTAAAATGGCAATTCATTCATATGCCTTACACACTCATAGGCGTAGTGCCCAGTATGCCTGGTACGCACAGACATACCAGATGGTTGAAAATACACACCAAATTTAACCCAAACTTAAAAAAAACAAGATCCCTAGCCTTGCCCAAGTCGGTCTCTTTTACTTATCTTGATTTCTATTTCAAGATCAGATAAGTAAAAAAATACCATCTTGGGCAAGGCTACAAGACCCCCTGAATACCAACATTTTTCACTTCACTCAACTCGTATTTCCATATGGTGGTGTACTACTCATAAAAAAGCACTACGTTCATGACATTCATATAAAATATCTGTTTCAAATTCTTGCTTGCAGATTTATGAAGGTGCTCCAGAGAATAAATAGGAAGTGGAAATCTATTAGAGAAATGGACACGCCAATGTAATACATAATGTAATAATACCCCAATGTAATACATAGTGTAATAATACATAAATTTGAATGAATGCAAATATTGATAACTCTCTATTTTTTTTTTTTTTTCTTTTCTTTTTTTTTTTTTTTTTTTTATTTCTTTCTTTTTTTTAATTATATATTTGTACATTATTTCATTCATATTTAATACAGCAAATCCCATAACGTAATAGCACACAGCTTGGCATATGAAATATCCTACAAATGAAACAAAGCAAGACAAACCGGTTTCTAATAAAAGGACTTATATTGGCTGTTGTACATGTATTCTTTGAACGCAATCACTCTTTGGATATCGTTTTCAAAATCATTATAAACGGATTACTTTATCTCAAAGACAATTTCAATAAACTGGATTTTACAGAACTCCCCTTATTTCTTAAAAATGGACTGATCCAGTTGATTCGCCTGGAGCCGCCATATTGTTTTTTTTATACGGGATGCTAATCGGAACCCTTAAAACCCTGTATTTCAATCATGGAACATCCCACTTAGATCACCGGGAATTATATTCATTTCATTCAGTGTACACATGTAAAACAAATCTTTAATCACTGATTTTGGCTATTAATCAACAAGAATCTATCAATAAATGTAATATTATCTAAAAAATATTAATCTATCAGTCATAATTCTACCTTGCTTTGACATACAGAGTATTTCAACTATACTAACGATGAAATATGTCATATTCAATATTGAGCATTGTATTTGCACTTTCTTATTCCTCCATATTACTAACTACCTCCACATTTAAAGAGCATCTGAAGAGCTTGAAAACCAAATGGAAATCAAAGATGCCACCACATCTCTTAAAAGTCAGGTGTGAAGACTGTTTGGCTTTGATTCTAGCAGCCCTAAGAGGCGAGTTTCCATCTGTGTAAAGTGACATACACATATTCCAATGGTATGTGGGCCTTTTCAGAAAATTGTCAGATTTTATTTTTTTAATTTCTATTTATTGAGACAGTCTCATACTGAAGCATGTATTCAGTGATTCAGGGAACTAGTCTACTTATTCATAATCATATAATTGATCTTTGATAGGTAGAGAACATTTTCTATAGTTTTTCACATTTGCCAGGATAGCAGCCCCAGCAAAGCAGGGGCTGCTTTTCCCAACTGCTTGGGATATTTGTGGTATCTCAAAGATCCCAATTAAAATAAAACCAGATCATATACAGGTAAACTTTTCTAAAAAAAACTTAGTAGAAGTAGATTTGAGACCATTCAATTCAAGGCTTGTTTTGATTTTATGTCAGTTTGATGTCATGCCAGTTGAGTAATAAAATTGCATTTGGAACATTAGCCTACATTCTTGTTTATCATTAACAATTATTTCATGTGTGCAAGTTTCCAACTGGCATGATATTAATTGATTAATAAGGAATTATTATTTATAAGCAATCCAAGAAGCATGAAAATCATCAGAACATGATTGATTAAACAAGATTCTGGGATCAATATTACTTATCTATTTCTTCAATTGGCAAGCCCAACCCGAGGGCCGCCTGACCCACCCCTTTAGTAAAATATAACTGTTTTGTTAAAATGTTATCACAGACACTTACTTGTATACTCTTTCTTGTCATATGGCCGACTCTGATATTCGTTACTAACAGTTCTGATTGTGATGGTGTATTCGGTTCCAGCTGTCAGTCTTTCAATGTCAGCTGTACGAGCATTATCAATTTTATTTTTTACTTCCCCTCCTTGACAATTTACTTCATAGTTTTCAACCTTGCCTTCAGCTGGAGCATCCCAACCAATGATCATAGCAGTAGTGTCTCTTGCAGTGACTTTCATGTTTCTGGTTTGTGCAGGATCTGTCAAGGTTCATAAAGGAGTCAAACATGAAATTACTTAAGATTATGCAATATTTTGTACTGTTTCACCTCATATTTAGGTGTACAATTACATGTAACTACATAAGAGATACATTATATATAGATGCAATACATGTATACAGGGTGTCAAAAAACAACGGCACCCCCCTCTACAGCGAAAGGTACTTAATGTTACATAGTGTGTCATATCTCATTTTAAAGACAATTTAATTCTTGAGTTACCTAAGAAATATCAGCTCGATATCATATAATTTTACAGATTTACAACTGATTCTTAGTAGTTGGTATGACCACCAGTTACTGCTCGAACAGCAGCTTATATGGATGTATATGATTTCAATGAAAATTCAGATAAAGGTGTAGCATTGGATAATCCTCTTAGCATTTTCCTCATATTGTTAAGAATTACATCCTTACTGTATCTTTTTTCAAGAGGCTCTTTTTCCATCAATTCCTATACCCTGTTTTTCAGATCTGAGCCCATATGTTCAGTGTAGTTGAAATCTGGGCTAATTCTTTCATATTCCACTTTCTTAAGATTTGACCTTTAACCAGTAACAGAGTAGCGAACAAAGTACCGAAGTAGCAAACTTTGAAACAATATAGCTTTTTTAATATGAAGTTTTATTAAATGAAATTTGATGAGTAACTCCAGAATTAAATTATCTTTCAAATGAGATATGACATGATATGTATCATTAAGGACCTTTTGCTATAGAGGGGAGTGCCGTTGTTTTTTGACACCCTGTACATCATGATGTTACAGATAAATATCTGGTTGTATCTTTCATTTAATCATAGGTAGATACACAAATGGCGCCACTTCACAGATGTTAAGTTCCTTTTAAAAAACTTTACTCATATAAGATGCCAGGAGTCTATCTTTTACTAAAACATACCGTATTCTCTGTAATTACCGCCCACTCTCTAATAAGCGCCCACCCCGCTTCACAAAGTTCAAGAAACATCGAGGAATCAACAAGAATTGAAGAATATATCAGGAAAAAAATATTTCTCAAAATCCAGGAGCGGGCGATAATAGAGTACTTACCCTAAAACTGCTGTAAACACGACGTGTTTTGTAATTCTATGCATCCTCTCGATACATATCTATCGATGGGTGCTTCCCACACCATACCATGCTAATATTGTCTCCAAATAGTCCATAATGAATGAAGGAATTGTTCTTTATCGGCATTCAGAAATTTCAAAAGCTACTGCGCAGATGTTCTGCGCATGTCAAGGTCGTGAACTTTCTGGTTTCTTTTTAATGTTTCTCGACTTTTACACGACTTTTGCACGAATAATGATGATCTCTCATCAAATTAGAAATAATGTATAACTTTAGATCGATATCCAGCAGTCTCTAGTGGAAATATTGAAGGTAATCGGCGATAATGACAAAGTGGGCGTGCCGGAAATAAATTAGACATAGACGGGTCTTCAACCACTGTCAATATTGTCTAAGCGATCTTTACCGTATTCTCTCCAATAACAGCACTTGTCATATTATTATAAAAATATGTTGAAGAAAATGCATTCTTGTCAAGAAAAATTGCCATACATGAAATTCCTCGGGATTTCTGATTTCTTTCATACATGGGCGCTTATTAGAATGGTCTAAATAATGTATTTTCAATTTTCTAAACGCCCTGGGCGCTAATTACAGAGAATACGGTAATAATAAATAGAAAAAAAACTACTCGTATTAAACTAAAATAAAGTGGATTTATTTCTTGCACAAAATTATATCACATCATCATTGCTTATTTAGAAGAAAAAAGTTCAAAAGAAGAAAACTAACATACATGTCTTCCCAGTGGTGATTTTTACAGCACTTAGTCCACTATTGGCACCTGAACCCCTCCTAGCTTGGATGGTAATACTGTACTCCACACCTGCTGTGAGCCCATTTATAACATAACTTCTAGCAGATCCCTCAGCTTCATGTGTCCCTGTATCTGAAGAATCAGCTGGTGTTTGTGCTACCCAACTTATATCATTCTTCTCCCCTCTTCTTGCTTCATCTGGGTTTTCCCATGTCAATGTTATTCTATTAATGTTTGTGTTATCAGATGATGTTTCCAGATTAGAAGGAGCATCTGGTTCTGAAATGATAAGAATGAGTGTACTGTTAAAAATTATGCACTTACTAATTGCAATGAATATTGGAATTTCTTCTGGAACAGAGCTCCTTTGTCCCTGGGTATCAGCATATAAAATCCATCCACTGGTATTTGAGCTATCAAAGATTATGTTTTTTTTGCAAATAATGGTCCTCATTTTGAAACTAGACAACAGTAACGCCAAAGCGTAGCAAATTCCATTGAACAGCCATGGCTGTCACTTTTACAAAATCCTTCTACTACTATTTCAGCTATAGCTAAATAACACACATGCCAACATTTTCAAAATGGTCACTCAGTAGTAGCCAAATTGCCATAAGAAAGTATAAATGCTTCTAAGTAAGCACATTAAAAATTTTACGAGCCACATGCGTACATGTAAATGGGGTCCATTTTTAAAAATGGCTACCTACTAGCCAAAGTGTCATAAGACAGTGTACCATGCTCATTAGTATTCACATATCAAATATGAACGTAATCACTCTATAACCTTTTTAGATATAGTAAAAACATAAAAAAATAACACAGGTAAAAATGGCCAAAGTGTCATAAAACAGTTGGCCATGCTTATGAGTATTCATATATCAAATATGAACAAAATCACTCCACTACTTTTCAAGTTACAGCAAAACTTGTACAATGGCGTGTGAAAACAGCCATTTTTCAAGATAGCTGCTATATGTTACTTAAATATATCTTTATTAATGTCCTCGGTAACTTTTTTTTTACATTCAAAAGTGCTATTACAGTTTTATATATTGTACTTAAATTACTGTAAAATCTGCACTAAAATGGGAACCATTTATACATTTTTAAATTGGCTTTTGAAAAGAACTTCTACCCCAATAAGGCATATGTGTACAAAATATGAACAAAATTCAGCCTAGATACTCGAATGGTCTTGATTGGACATCAGGGTGCAGAGAAATTGTAATTTTATTGAGTTGCTTCACGAAAAAATAAACAGGGTTATAAGCCACGTTAAGCTGCCATCTTGGAAATTTCTTAATGAGCAGAGCTCCATTTTCTTTAGGCATTAGCATAGAAAATTAAAGATTACATTATTTTACAAAATATGGCAGCCTTTTTTTAGTGGCTATCTTGAGAATCTCTCTTTCAGCTAAGCTCCTTTTACCCTAGGCATCAGCATTTAAAATTTGAAACAAATCTGTCGTCTAGTATTTGAGTGAAATTTTTATGAAAAATGGTGGCCATTTTGAATTAAGTGGCCATATTTGAAATTCCTTCTCTAGCAGAGATCATACATCCATAAGGCATAATCCCACAAAATTTTAAACGGATTCAGATAGACAGCTTCTCTATATCCCTCTTGAACTTCGATTGGTGGGATACTGAATCCATTCTCATTAGTCATTTATTAATTTTTTGTAATACTCACTGGTGGCACAAGTCCCTCCATTATTGTAATGTGTATCCTTACACTGACACTTGAAGCCATTTCCAGTGTCTCTGCATTCAGCATTAGAATCTTTACATGGAGGATCAGTTGCAGACTCAGGACAAGTCTGTTATAAATCAATTTCTGTAAACAAAGGAGACATTCAGACAATATGTAAGATCATCTCTCTGGTTTAGATATTTTAAAACAACTTAATTTCTTCAGAGATCAAGGCTTTCTTGAAAAAGACTTGAGGATACAAGTCGAAAGCCTTGAAGAAATGAATAAAGTTGTTTTAAAAAGGAGACAATATTTCAAGGACAAACAAACATTACATGAAACATATTGTAAATAGTCATGTATCCCACACATGTTATCAATACACATGTTAAGATTCAATGCCCAAAGGAATTCAAAAACTATAGAATGTTAAACTCACTAGTGGCACAAGTCCCTCCATTATTGTAATGTGTATCCTTACACTGACACTTGAAGCCATTTCCAGTGTCTCTGCATTCAGAATTAGAATCTTTACATGGATCAGTTGCAGACTCAGGACAAGTCTGGTCTAAATCAATTTCTGAAAATAAAGAATACAACATTAAGGACAAACATACAGTAACATGAAACATATTGTAAATAGTCATGTATCCCACGCATTTATCAAAACACATGTAAAATGCAATGCCCAAAGGAATTCAAAAACTATAGAATGTTAAACTCACTAGTGGCACAAGTCCCTCCATTATTGTAATGTGTATCCTTACACTTACACTTGAAGCCATTTCCAGTGTCTCTGCATTCAGCATTGGAATCAATACATGGATTAGTTGCAGACTCAGGACAAATCTGTTCTAAATCAATTTCTGTAAACAAAGGAGACAATAGTTCTATGTAAGATCATCTCTGGTTTAGATATTTTAAAACAACTTTATTAGTTTCTTCCTAGAATTTTTTGTGAGATCAAGGCTTTCTTGAAAAAGACTCGAAGATACAAGTCGAAAGTCTTGAAGAAATGAATAAAGTTGTTTTAATAAGGAGACAATATTTCAAGGACAAATATACAGGGCATGAAACATATTGTAAATAGTCGTGTACCCCACACATTTATCAAAACACATGTTAAGATTTAATGTCCAAAGAAATTAAATAACTATAGAATGTTAAACTCACTAGTGGCACAAGTCCCTCCATTATTGTAATGTGTATCCTTACACTTACACTTGAAGCCATTTCCAGTGTCTCTGCATTCAGCATTAGAATCTTTACATGGAGGATCAGTTGCAGACTCAGGACAAGTCTGTTCTAAATCAATTTCTGTAAATAGAGAAGATGTTTTATGGGCAAACATGTAGAACGTGAATTTTAAATAGATGTCACACATTTTATCAATACATGTAAAGGTGTAATGTCCGAAAAAGTTCTGCTTGATTGAATCTCATGTTCACTCATATACACTTATATTTGAAGCCATCACCAGTGTTTTGTACACTCAGCATTAAGATCTTGACTTGGATCAGTTGAGCATGCTCAAAATGATGACTGATTTGATAAGATATGTTATTTGCCACTCTGGGAAGTTGACTTGAGACTCTCATATAGACTACATGTAGGCATTCTAGGGGTCGATTCATGTACTTCTTCATTGAAGACATCTTCCTCATCTTTCACATTGAATATTCAAACCCTTAGGCAAATCAGAGTCACTTAATCTTACTTTTTTCAATTCCTACTCAACAATTACTTATTTTGTTTGCAGCTTGTTGAACTCTCCTCAAAGAAACCATCTTGACATTGACATTTCTTTGGATCACCACTTTCACATTTACTATTATCTACTGCACAGTTAGCATGACCAGTGCATTCTGCAATATAATGATTGATCATAGAAATATGCCACTTACTTGGTTGACAGCTTGTTAGACTCTCTTCATAGAAACCATCTTGACATTGACATGTCTTTGGATCACCTACACATTCACTGTTCTCTACTGTGCAGTCGATGTCATTAGTACATTGTGCTTCTAGCTCTACTCCAGATACTTGGGTCTGAAATGCAACAATATCAAACATGAACAAACAATAGCACATGAGTAAAGTATGTTGATCACTTAGATTGCATCTTCCACTGGAGCAGGAGGTTTGTGTGTTTGAAAAAAGAACCTGTCTTCTCCATCTATTTTCTATGTGCAATCTTAGATTGGGTTGATAGTTGATTCTTTGACCTGAATCCATGTTGGAATGTTACTGAACTTTATTTTGCCATTGTCTTTTAGCATAGAAGCTGCAGTACACCAACTTGTATTGCTTAATATAAACATTGTTGGAAGCCTAAATACAATCAGTTTTTTTTCGCATTTTGAAATCCATAGAGAAGTCATGATTGTTCTCATGTCAATGTAAAAAAACTTACCTGACTTAGTAGTATAGCTGTATAAGTCATTAGAAGAATTAAAATCTTTTTATCCATGTTAAAAAATACCTTGTTTTACTAAATTTCTTTCAATCAATGAATTAAACTTCCTGCTTGTTATCAAGAATACATTCACATAAATACATGGCCAACTTTGTTTACTATTTATGACTATCCAATTACTTTTTGTCATCAAAGGGAGCATCTCAAAAGGGCAGTGTAGAAACATTGACTCTATTTGCAAAGTTGGGGATGGGATGCAATGAGTACTTACAGCTTATCAGACATCTTTCCAAGGGGTGCTCATTTCATTAATTTCAAATCTAGACCATGTATACGAAGGATATTACGATAAGGAACCGTAGGGAACTTTATTCTCCGTATGAGTTTTACAGTGGATATTACAGTGTATATTCTTATTCAATAATAACTTGTTTTCTCTGGGAAGTAAAGAGGTATTCATCTCATATCAGATCCTGCATTTGATCCCATATCAACCAAAATCCTATAGCAGATCCCATGTCAGAACTATTTCTATTGTTCTATGTTAATAAGAATTGTACCACTTTTGTCTCCATCATTGGGTAATAACATACAAAACAAAAAGTAAGTTTCAGGAAAAAAATTACGGTTATTGATGGAGTATGGAATGTACTTTTTTCCTTGAGATAAATATGATATTGGAGAAAGTATATGTTCCCTTGGAATAAAGTTCATGTTCCATCCCTCCCATTAAGTAACATTTATATATACTTTCTCTGTTCTTATTTTTAATAAAATTACTGAAGAAGGAACTAAAGAAATATGTTTAGTTTTCACAAATATAAGTTACTAGTTTTTTTACATGTACAATATTGAACAAAACACTCAATCGGCCAAGCCCCAGCCGATGGATCGGAGCATATGTGACCCAGGAATTACAGTATATTGCATACATCAGTTCGACAATGAAAAAATGAAAGACTAAATAATTCTATGTTAAAATTTTGATATGTCCCTAAAGTATAGTATACTTTAAAAAGAAAAATACAAAGTACACTTATACTACTCAATCTAAGTACTTCAAAAAGCAAATTCATAGAACTGATAAATAAGTGTATATAATACTTATATCGAGCTGAGGTGTTCTATCTACCTGACTTTTTCTTTTTGTTCATGTCATGATGACCTGCCTTAGATGATGACAATTAAAGAGCACTTTCATAAGGGTCTTTACTAGAGTTGGTAGCCCCATTTATTAGCCCCATTTATTCAGCTTCAGGTTTATTCAGTTGCCTTGTTGGCAAGATTTTAAAAAAATCTAATTAGAGCTTTGTTCGATATAATATTACCAAGATCTCTAGGCTTATTCATTAAATTAAATGAAGCTGTTTAGTTGTTTGTTTATTCTTTGTTTGTTTGTATGTTTAGTTGTTGAAGGGGCTACATTATATGTGACTCACATAACTCTTACATCACATATAACGGGCATCATATTGACATGACATTATGCAATTAGATCTCTATTCAAATCCAATGTGAAAATCCATTCATTACCATGACAACTGTTTAACTAGTGACCTTGCATGTGTTATTGATATTTCACACACTGTTCATTATGTGAATACTCTTTTTGGATTGGCTGGAATCAGACACACCTTGCCTAGCTATGTGTGGCCAATGTGTGAATTTTACTTTACAGCTGATTTACAGCAGCAGAGATTTCTAAAAAGTAGTTAGTGATTTACTATGCATGATCATACATCTTTACTCATGAGACATGTCCATACCTGGTTGACAAATCACTCATTCGTTAAGTTATTTAAATAAATTCAACATACTTGAGCAAATAGGGTCAAAAGAATGCCACTATTTATATTCCTGAAAATTCAAGAACTTGTGTGTTCCAGGTGCTGTGGCCATATAGCTGAGCTGGAGCACACATACTTCAGAGCTGAAAATAAACAGTCTGAGGCGAAGCAAAACAAGGTGAACCATGACCAGACTCCCCATGAGATCATGCCCACTACTGATATGGACATTGACATCAGGTAGAAAACAGTTTGTTATCTTGTGTTTGAGATTTTGTTTTAGATTTCATTAAAAGACAGACTTTCTCTTGCACCCTGGTGTGTTTTGCTGCCTCCCAAGTCTCAATTTATCACTCAATGCATCATGTGACATCAAGGTCAATTATACTTCACCTTGAACCCTCCCATGTCAGATACTGTTAGATAATATATTAACTTAAAAATATGTAAATTACAAATTGAAATGTATTTATGATCATATGTATATATATTTTTCGACCCAGTTCTAATATTTAATTCATATTCAGTGATCCAGAGCTTCTTAGCATGCCGGTCATGCCAAATGAAGCTCTCGCCCCTGATGTGAATGTACATAACCTGATCACTGAGAGTGCAGTAGAGGGAGGCTGGGACAGTGCACTTAGTGGAGGAGGGGTGTTAAGTAAGAAACAAACATCTAAAGTATTGATGGGTCTGACACAACAAGTAGATAGGTGAGTAGATGTCATAATGTAATTATTTTTGATATACTGGTCAACATTGAACGAGTGAACAGTTGTTTAATATCGGTTCATAGTGACTATATAACCAGTCGAAATTTCTAAGCGGAACACCTCTGTAAGCGGAACACCTCACACGTTGAACACTTTTTTGTGGTCCCAAGGGCATTCCACTTATACAAGTTCTACTGTATATGTACATATGTATTTTTCTAGTCACTAGGGTTTTGTGATTGGCGTCTGCATCTGTTGCAATTCCTGCAATAAAACTCATTTAATTTTGAATCTTATTTAATCCTTAATTCTCAGTATATTAAATGAACACACTATTCAAAGGTATTTAAAGAGTATTATATAAAAAATATTATTTTTGGATCAAAACAATGAAAATTATGGTTACTTAATCGAGTGTAAAAATGTCAATCCAGATTTATGGATGAAGACATTTTGTGGATGAAAGAAAGTCTACACTTACTTTTTTTTTTAAATTATCTACACAAGGAATTTCATTATTGCTATATTATAGATATTGACAATCACAGATATGAAAAATCTATTCAGAGAGACTTTATTTAAATTTTGAAATCCTGACATTGTATATTTCAGGTTTTTTGAAGATGCAGCTGACAAACTAAATCTTAATTCATTGGTTGAGTTTATGACGGAAATGTGTTGCTCCAGTAAGCAACAACTTCATAAATACAGCAGCAAGCTAGAGTTAGGAATGCCAGGGTTTGTACCAACCAATGCCCTACATCTGTATCGTCTCGGCCATATTGTCTTGAAATGTCTGCGAAGTGGACGGCCTTTGTTGCATCTGATGAAAGTATGGAGTGCAGTTGCTCCACATTTCATAGAGGTAGGAATAGTTATAAATATGATGTTTTCAACCATAGTTAAATACTCTGAACCAATGGTGAATGACTGCATACTCTGTGATTTAGCTAGTATTCTTGGATTCAACTGTCGACTGATGCCTTACGACTTGTTTGCTATTTTATGGCCAACTCATGTAGATATGAAAAGTACCATCTCATTTAGGTATTCATATTTAAATGAGTTGGCAATACGGCCGTATGAATTTTTACCACTATTTCCAACGAAAAGATTGCACTACCATTAATTATCACTAAAAGATCATCATACTCGTAAGAATGGCAAGTTTTTTTCAATTTATTGGTCGTAATTTCGTAATTAAAGTCGTAAAATTACGACCATATGGCCAGGGATTTGCAACTCTGATATAGGGATCAGTGTTGTGATGTGGGTAGCTACATGTTCTTCAGTGGTTCCATGTTTTCACAGATGAATTTCACTCAATTTTTGATTCATTATTCCTTTAAATGATGAACAATGAAGACACTGATAACTCTTAATTTATTTATTTGATATCCCATCTTAATTTTTCACATTTTTATATATACATGTATATATGTTATATGTATTTAGTCTCTGATTTTGATTTTCAGTGTTGTGAATTACTTTATCACAATCAAGTTCCTAAATCTAACCGACATATGAATTTACGTGTGTATGCACAAGTGTTCTTGATAATGCCACCAAAATAATCATCTGGATAGAATCCCCCGCAGGCCTGAGCTGCTTGGTCAGAACCAGTGCTTGACATGTCCCAATTCTCATAGGAAGAAGAAGGATCCAACCACTCCCATTGGTATTCTCCAGTACGGATCAGCCCAATCCAAGCATTACTAAATTCTGCAAAATAGAAAGATCAATCCCCAAATGAGTGTGCATGTACATTGTACTTCAATCCTAAAACCCTTGATTAGATAGCTAAGACCCATTTTTAACACTAATTATACCATAAGCACATTGCTCATTGCAGCAGTAATTTATTTTTGTACAACTCCATTTAATATTTTCAAAAATTATGAATTGATTGCAGTAAAAATAAAGGTAGTCACAAAGGTAAAGGACAACTTGCTCAAGGCAGAAATCCACAACAAAATTGGAATCAAATCACTTTAAGAGAGGTTAGGGAGGGGATCAGCCTACAAATGTACAGTAAAACCTTTGTATATTGAACTTTTTTTTCCAAGAAAAAACATTCAGTGTTGGTAGGTGTTCACTACAAAAAGGGATATTCATACAGAAGTCAGTACAGTAGAGTATAAGGCGAGGAAGGGTGTTCACTAGAGACAGGTGTTCATTAAAACAGGTTTTACTGTCATTATTTTCCTAATTATCATACACCATTAATGGTCATTATACATTATTAGGGATTTTTTGCAATATTTCAAAAACAAGGAATATTTGAAATGAATTTTGGTGATAAGATTCTGTATCCTATGCCCAGAAGAGAATAAGCTTGTCTATACAGTATAATAAGCTCATCTATAAGTCCCTCACCTATCCTTTGTTTATAAGCAGTCACCAGGGCATCATACTGTTCTTGGTCATGTATAGTGGCTAGATCCCCTCCTGCAGCCTGACATTCACTTCTGGCATCACTCCATGTTTTAGCGTCATCTTGCAGTTTAACACAGAACCCTGGCCACACTTCTTCCCATTCACCATCACAGCTTGCAGGTAGTACACTCACAGGTGCTAGAAGTTATAAATCAAAAGTATGTATAGGTGTGCGATCAGTTTGAAGGCTCCTGGTTACTTGAATGGTACATGTATGATTTAGTATATTTTCTTTTATAATTTTTTATGTACATTATATTATCCTTGCTAAAATTGATTTGTGCATCCAGAGGACCATGGAATTATTAGTATTAACAAAGATCCCATCCACTCATTCGTGGGTTCTCTGTCTGTCAGTTATTGACCTTTAAAAACTGACAAAGAACTAATTTTAAATGTAAAAGGGATTTGGCTTCAAAGAATCCATTTTTTACATCTCACCTTGTTCTTTACACCAGGCTGGGGCTTCTACCTACAACATAACAAAGTATCATACTCTCCCCTTCAAAAGTTTGGCATCTGAAAGTCCTCTTTAAGACTTTATCTTGAAGCCTTTTTATGTTTGGGCCATTTAACATATTTTACAATACATGAATTAGCAAATATATGGGGCATAAAAATTAATTTTATGACAAATGTTTTTTTGGATAGAATTCATAAACCATATGTTTTCATTTTGATTTGTTTGTCATCGAAGACATAATCCAGGGGTTTCACATGCATTGTCAAATATACTCTCTGTTAATTTTTGCAGAATTGGGAAACCTGATCAGATTCTTAGATCAGATTTTGTGTCAAAATATTCTTGTATTTCAAGCATTAAAACTTACCCCACATTCAAAGTCATAATATTTCATAACTCCTGAATCACTGAAACTGTTGAAATCTCCCGGCTTAGTAGTTTTTGTCTCATTGTGTAAACGACAAATAGTTTCCTCATCTTCATAAAAGTTAATTGACTTGCAGTGTACTTCTTGTAAACAATCTCTCACACATTCCAGTAAAGACCTCACTTTGGTGTGTGTAATTTCATTATTGTGGAGAACCTTATTGTTTTCTAAACACATGAGTCCTTGGGTACATGTACTGGTACCGACTACATATGATGCAGCATCTTTGATAACTAGAAAATAAAATACGAGTAATTACAATCTTTGGTTATTTTTGGTGAATTTGGACTGTGACTGGTGCAAAGTGTGAAACGTTCTTTGGGGTCCCAAAGGAAACTGTACAGCATCAAAGTAAAATGGTGGTATCTTGTGAATTTCTATTTCTAGATGATTTTTTATAAATTATTTTAGGAAAGAGCGGTGTGCTTTTAAATATGCTCAGTAAATAAAATTATTATCAATTCAATTTATAAAACATTTAACGATATTTCAATGTAACATGGGCTTCATGAGGGTCAAAGTCAAACATCAGAGGATTTTAAAACAGTTTTTGTTGAATTTAATTTTGGTATGCAGTGTTCTCCATAGGATTTTTCTCAAGTGGGTGCAAAATGCTCATATTCATAATTCTCTCATTTTTAAGTGGGTGCAAATGGATTTTCAGGTGGGTGCAAGCCTGTTTTCAAATTCTCACTTGCTTTAATACTGGGAAGATCACTGGTTTGACTTTGAAATCAAAATCTCTTTTCTCCCATTGCTGATTTTATGGTGTCTCTATTACCCTTCATAATAGTCTCTCTATCATCATAATAGTCTCTCTATTATCCACCCTTCATGACTGTTTTACAACTGATTTTAATGGTGTCTCTATTGCCCTTCATAATAATCTCTCTATCACCCACCCTTCATGATTATTTTACCCATGTCTAACCTTTTACTGTACATAAACATCATGCTGAAAACATAAATCCTATAAATCCTTTTAATCAAAACAACAAATTTTGCAAAATTGTAGATTTTTCCTCTTTTATGGTATTTTTCATTAGAATTAAGTGATAATCAGCACTCGATATTATCGATTTTTTATTTCTAATAACATCTAAATGGTCCAGTATACAATACTCTTATACAAATTCTACTTGAATAGATATTTTCAACAAAGATCAAAAAGATTTTAATTAAAATAGGTCTTATTGGAACTGCTGAATATCTTAGATAATGTAATGATAACACACACAACCATTAAAAGGGAAACAGGGTATTTTGCTTCGTGTATTGATTTGTATAAATATCATTAAACCAGAGAAAGTTCAATTAGATCTCTTCTAAAGTGCAATCTTATTTAATTACCTGTAATGATTAACCAATCCAATATTTGTCCTGCTTTGTAATCCTTGTTATACAATATATATTACAATGGACATATATTGTATTGTACAATAACCAACACTTCACTTTTAGCTTGAGAGCTATTTCTTGAGTGAGAATCTGACAGCTGGTTTAAATGCAGATAAATCTGTTTTGGCTCACACAGTGAGCGTATGGGATCGACTAGGCATCCGTCAGTTGGGTCGTCCATCTGTTCATTGGTCTGTCCATCCGTCAACAAAAAGTAGGACTGTAGGACTTCGGCCCTCGGTCGTATATTTCACTATATTGCCCTTTGAAATGACGTTATTGTACTATTCTTGGTTGAAAGTCAGGAGATGCATTCCTCTAAAGGTTCTACACTGTGTGAGAACAGGGCTTTGGGTCCTTTATTATACTTAAGGACTTTATATTTTCTTTATGAGCCATTTATAGTTGTGCGATAATGTATGCACTGAGACATAGAATTATCAATCTTAATAATAGTACTCATTATCAGTAACTTTATTCAGAGATATCTTGATAATATTATTTGAATGTCTCTGTATTTTTTCACTTTTGGTATAAACTTTGTTTATAAATTTTATTTATATATTATTTATTTTTTGTAATAATTGTGAACCATTTCATACTGTAAATGTTTAAAACTTTTTGGCCTATTTCATTAATTATATTCTAGGAATTTAACACAATTATAATAACAATTATAACAAATACCATTAGCTAGTAAAACTAAAACTAAAATTATACTGTACCTAATAAATCCATAAAAATTGCTAACATCCAGTTAATTTCCATTTTTGTGTGTGTTTATCAAATGTATTCAAATTTTCCAGTATATACTTTTACATTTTACCATCTCATTCCCTAGATTGCATTCCTTCAAAACAATCTATGGGTTCATTTTTCTCATCTTGATTAGCTTTAAGTGATGGATTTTTCTTTCCTATTTAAAGTACTTCCCAACTGAGATGCATTTCATCTAAAATAATTAACCCTGAATATTTTTATATCATTATTCTGAGCGTGTTTATAATAACGGAACACTTAATCATTCTTGAATATTTCTTATAAAGTGATCAATATTCATTAATCTGGGATTTTCAAATAACAGACCCTTACCCCATTGTTTGATCCTTGACAAGTTCAATTTCCTATTGAAATAAGCAGAACTGAAAGCGTGACCCTATATTCTCAGATGACTGCAGTATACAGGTATAGGTGCTTTCTGCATAAATTAATTGAAGCTCTTTGTTAATGCATTAATGAGTGTTTTCAGAAAGGTCAATGAAATAACAGTTCATTTTTACTAAGATTAGCTATGATTGTGAGAAACCTATTACCTTTTGAAATAAATGAGTATTTCTACTTATTCTTCAATCACTACTTTGTAGGCCAGATAGTTTCATTGACTTGAACACAAGACAAATAGACATCATCATTGCATTGTACATAAGACGAAAAGACTCTATCATTACCTTGTATGGTCGACAAATAGACTTCATCATTGCATCGTACATAAGACGAAAAGACTCTATCATTACCTTGTATGGTCGACATATAGACTTCATCATTGCATTGTACATAAGACGAAAAGACTCTATTATTACCTTGTATGGTCGACATATAGACTTCATCATTGCATCGTACATAAGATGAAAAGACTGTATCATTACCTTGTATGGTCGACAAATAGACTTCATCATTGCATTGTACATAAGACGAAAAGACTCTATCATTACCTTGTATGGTCGACATATAGACTTCATCATTGCATTGTACATAAGATGAAAAGACTCTATCATTACCTTGTATGGTCGACATATAGACTTCATCATTGCATTGTACATAAGACGAAAAGACTCTATCATTACCTTGTATGGTCGACATATAGACTTCATCATTGCAGCGTACATAAGACGAAAAGACTCTATCATTACCTTGTATGGTCGACAAATAGACTTCATCATTGCATTGTACATAAGACGAAAAGACTCTATCATTACCTTGTATGGTCGACATATAGACTTCATCATTGCATCGTACATAAGACGAAAAGACTCTATCATTACCTTGTATGGTTGACATATAGACTTCATCATTGCATCGTACATAAGACGAAAAGACTCTATCATTACCTTGTATGGTCGACATATAGACTTCATCATTGCATTGTACATAAGACGAAAAGACTCTATTATTACCTTGTATGGTCGACAAATAGACTTCATCATTGCATCGTACATAAGACGAAAAGACTCTATCATTACCTTGTATGGTCGACATATAGACTTCATCATTGCATTGTACATAAGACGAAAAGACTCTATTATTACCTTGTATGGTCGACATATAGACTTCATCATTGCATCGTACATAAGACGAAAAGACTCTATTATTACCTTGTATGGTCGACATATAGACTTCATCATTGCATCGTACATAAGACGAAAAGACTCTATCATTACCTTGTATGGTCGACATATAGACTTCATCATTGCATCGTACATAAGATGAAAAGACTCTATTATTACCTTGTTTGGTCGACAAATAGACTCTTTCATTGCATTGTACATAAGATGAAAAGACTCTATCATTACCTTGTATGGTCGACAAATAGACTTCATCATTGCATTGTACATAAGACGAAAAGACTCTATCATTACCTTGTATGGTCGACAAATAGACTTCATCATTGCATTGTACATAAGACGAAAAGACTCTATCATTACCTTGTATGGTCGACATATAGACTTCATCATTGCATTGTACATAAGACGAAAAGACTCTATCATTACCTTGTATGGTCGACATATAGACTTCATCATTGCATTGTACATAAGACGAAAAGACTCTATCATTACCTTGTATGGTCGACAAATAGACTTCATCATTGCATTGTACATAAGACGAAAAGACTCTATCATTACCTTGTATGGTCGACATATAGACTTCATCATTGCATTGTACATAAGACGAAAAGACTCTATCATTACCTTGTATGGTCGACATATAGACTTCATCATTGCATCGTACATAAGACGAAAAGACTCAATCATTACCTTGTATGGTCGACATATAGACTTCATCATTGCATTGTACATAAGACGAAAAGACTCTATCATTACCTTGTATGGTCGACATATAGACTTCATCATTGCATCGTACATAAGACGAAAAGACTCTATCATTACCTTGTATGGTCGACAAATAGACTTCATCATTGCATTGTACATAAGACGAAAAGACTCTATCATTACCTTGTATGGTCGACATATAGACTTCATCATTGCATTGTACATAAGACGAAAAGACTCTATCATTACCTTGTATGGTCGACATATAGACTTCATCATTGCATTGTACATAAGACGAAAAGACTCTATCATTACCTTGTATGGTCGACATATAGACTTCATCATTGCATTGTACATAAGACGAAAAGACTCTATCATTACCTTGTATGGTCGACATATAGACTTCATCATTGCATCGTACATAAGACGAAAAGACTCTATCATTACCTTGTATGGTCGACAAATAGACTTCATCATTGCATTGTACATAAGACGAAAAGACTCTATCATTACCTTGTATGGTCGACATATAGACTTCATCATTGCATTGTACATAAGACGAAAAGACTCTATCATTACCTTGTATGGTCGACATATAGACTTCATCATTGCATTGTACATAAGACGAAAAGACTCTATCATTACCTTGTATGGTCGACATATAGACTTCATCATTGCATCGTACATAAGACGAAAAGACTCTATTATTACCTTGTATGGTCGACATATAGACTTCATCATTGCATCGTACATAAGACGAAAAGACTCTATTATTACCTTGTATGGTCGACATATAGACTTCATCATTGCATTGTACATAAGACAAAAAGACTCTATCATTACCTTGTATGGTCGACATATAGACTTCATCATTGCATTGTACATAAGACGAAAAGACTCTATTATTACCTTGTATGGTCGACAAATAGACTTCATCATTGCATTGTACATAAGACGAAAAGACTCTATCATTACCTTGTATGGTCGACATATAGACTTCATCATTGCATTGTACATAAGACGAAAAGACTCTATCATTACCTTGTATGGTCGACATATAGACTTCATCATTGCATTGTACATGAGACGAAAAGACTCTATTATTACCTTGTATGGTCGACAAATAGACTTCATCATTGCATCGTACATAAGACGAAAAGACTCTATCATTACCTTGTATGGTCGACAAATAGACTTCATCATTGCATTGTACATAAGACGAAAAGACTCTATCATTACCTTGTATGGTCGACATATAGACTTCATCATTGCATCGTACATAAGACGAAAAGACTCTATCATTACCTTGTATGGTCGACATATAGACTTCATCATTGCATTGTACATAAGACGAAAAGACTCTATCATTACCTTGTATGGTCGACATATAGACTTCATCATTGCATTGTACATAAGACGAAAAGACTCTATCATTACCTTGTATGGTCGACATATAGACTTCATCATTGCATTGTACATAAGACGAAAAGACTCTATCATTACCTTGTATGGTCGACATATAGACTTCATCATTGCATCGTACATAAGACGAAAAGACTCTATCATTACCTTGTATGGTCGACAAATAGACTTCATCATTGCATTGTACATAAGACGAAAAGACTCTATCATTACCTTGTATGGTCGACATATAGACTTCATCATTGCATTGTACATAAGACGAAAAGACTCTATCATTACCTTGTATGGTCGACATATAGACTTCATCATTGCATTGTACATAAGACGAAAAGACTCTATCATTACCTTGTATGGTCGACATATAGACTTCATCATTGCATTGTACATAAGACGAAAAGACTCTATCATTACCTTGTATGGTCGACATATAGACTTCATCATTGCATCGTACATAAGACGAAAAGACTCTATCATTACCTTGTATGGTCGACAAATAGACTTCATCATTGCATTGTACATAAGACGAAAAGACTCTATCATTACCTTGTATGGTCGACATATAGACTTCATCATTGCATCGTACATAAGACGAAAAGACTCTATCATTACCTTGTATGGTCGACAAATAGACTTCATCATTGCATCGTACATAAGACGAAAAGACTCTATCATTACCTTGTATGGTCGACATATAGACTTCATCATTGTATCATACATAAGATGAAAAGACTCTATCATTACCTTGTATGGTCGACATATAGACTTCATCATTGCGTTGTACATAAGACGAAAAGACTCTATCGTTACCTTGTATGGTCGACATATAGACTTCATCATTGCATTGTACATAAGACGAAAAGACTCTATCATTACCATGTATGGTCGACATATAGACTTCATCATTGCATCGTACATAAGACGAAAAGACTCTATTATTACCTTGTATGGTCGACATATAGACTTCATCATTGCATCGTACATAAGACGAAAAGACTCTATTATTACCTTGTATGGTCGACATATGACTTCATCATTGCATTGTACATAAGACTAAAAGACTCTATCATTACCTTGTATGGTCGACATATAGACTTCATCATTGCATTGTACATAAGACGAAAAGACTCTATTATTACCTTGTATGGTCGACAAATAGACTTCATCATTGCATTGTACATAAGACGAAAAGACTCTATCATTACCTTGTATGGTCGACATATAGACTTCATCATTGCATTGTACATAAGACGAAAAGACTCTATCATTACCTTGTATGGTCGACATATAGACTTCATCATTGCATTGTACATAAGACGAAAATACTCTATTATTACCTTGTATGGTCGACAAATAGACTTCATCATTGCATCGTACATAAGACGAAAAGACTCTATTATTACCTTGTATGGTCGACATATAGACTTCATCATTGCATCGTACATAAGACGAAAAGACTCTATCATTACCTTGTATGGTCTACATATAGACTTCATCATTGCATCGTACATAAGACGAAAAGACTCTATCATTACCTTGTATGGTCGACATATAGACTTCATCATTGGATCGTACATAAGACGAAAAGACTCTATCATTACCTTGTATGGTCGACAA